AAGGGATTATCGTGACTGTATAAATCCTTGATTAACCTGATAAAATGTGGATCTGGAATATCGTGACTGTATAAATCCTTGATTAACCTGATAAAATGTGGATCTGGATTATCGTGACTGTATAAATCCTTGATTAACCTGATAAAATGTGGATCTGGATTATCGTGACTGTATAAATCCTGCTCCCATCGTCTAACACAATCCTGAGCTTCAGTCTGAAACTTCTCAACATCCTACAGAAAAGATCCATCAAATTAAGTGCGGGGGTTTGCCTAGTATATGCTTCAAAATACGAATACGAGGGTCAAGTCCTATCCCGGATTTTCTAGTTTTAAAAAATAAATTTTGCTTGTTTATCGTACAATTTATAAATATTTTATTAATAAAAAAAAAATAAAAAAAATGAAAACGTAAAATTGAACAAAATGATATTTAAGAAGTAAAAGTTATCCTACTGAACCTAAATGACCTTGTATAATTTAGCTGGGAAGCTGTGCTGACGGGCATTCGTGGTTTTAGTTTTGCCGTTATAAATAAGTAATTAGCATGTCAACACAATTGTCTAATATCAATACATAATGCTCGACAATATAGTTTCAATACATAGATTCCATCACACGACCAAAGAGTTGCGGGTGACACGGAAATGCCTCAAAAAAAAAAAAAAAACTGAATCATAAAACTAATCTAATGTCGTCTTCTCTCGACTTAAAATTAAAAAGACTATATTCTAACGATTTTCACAGCCATGGCCGCAGCGCTCGCCCTCCTAGCCTGTTCTAGCCGCATCGCACGGTCCCCAAGCCAGTCCTAGTCGCAGCGCTCGGCCCCCCTAGCCCATCATAGCTGCAGCGCTCGGCCCCCTTCGTAGTCTGCGGCGCAACCTAACTTACCCTAAATTAATGGTAAAAATTGTTAAAATATTTTTTAATGAGAGAAGACGACATTAAATTAGTTTTATGAGTCCGTTATTTTGAGACATTTCCGTGTTGAGGCGTTCCATGTCACCGAGTTGCGGTGTTGCCATATCAAATAACCGTCAGTTACTATAAGAAGCAATTTGTTATTAAAAAAAATGTTGCATGAATGAAACAGAAAGCTTAAGATCAAGGTTCCCCAGATCCTAGGATAGATTACCTGCTCCCAGAGAAGCGCTGCATCCTTGTTCTTGGCTAGATCAGGATTAGGAACCTCAACCTTATTTAATCAGAGATCATCACTTTTGTAGTTTAAAACTATAAAAATTGCCCTCAGTCGGTTTAAAATTAAAACATAGATATTACTATTGAATAATATTAAAGACAATTTAAAATAAAATAAAAAATAGTAATTACATAAAAAGAAATCCAAAAATTAAATTTTAATCTAAATATTTACCTTATAAAATACTCGTCTAGTGTAGAGCAGAAGTTGCCAAATATGATTAACATTTCTCTTCCATTTATGGAATCCCTATCAAATCAAACATGAGGGTTAGGGATTGCTTGAGACTCCCTTATGCATTCAGAATACAGCTACAGGGTAGAATTAACTTATCAAATCACTTTACGTCTACTCTCTCTTTAATTATTTTCTTGTGGAATTAAATATTTATACATTGATTAGTTCCAAGGTAAGTACAGCATACTGACATTACAATTGCAAGAGAATGAAATTTATGAATGGAATGATCTGAAAATACCTGCTTAACGTTTAGTTGGTGTGTAACAGGGTCTATGTGAGGATGATAAACAGGGCCGTCAAACACAACCTACACATTAACTGATAAGTTTAGTTTAATTCAAAGTAAACTATTAATTGCGTATCAATCAATCAATCAAATCAAATCAAATCAAATCAAATCAAATCAACCAACCAACCAACCAACCAATTCACACAAAACACAAAATCTTTCACCTTTGGACAGTCTCCATCTGGATAGTTCTCTGGTAGATGTATCTGAAACCTAGAGAAAGATAACAATGTTATAAACTGCTAGACTACTAACATACCCCTCCCCCTTCCCGCACTGTACCTGAATACACCTCCTTGATAAGGTCCTTGACGGATGAAAAGAACCCCCCACCAGGTGAGGGGGGATGAATGTGCCGGAAGACAGTAAATTCCTAATTAAACACAATTATTTCAAAAATATTTCATTTTTTTTTGCAAAGTGTCAACAAGGAGGGTACGTACATCGTAAATCTGTAAAGAAGACCAGAAAATCAAACAAGGAGGGTACGTACATCGTAAATCTGTTAAGAAGACCAGAAAATCAAACAAGGAGGGTACGTACATCGTAAATCTGTTAAGAAGAACAGAAAATCAAACGCTTTTCTCATCGATTTTTTCATTAACTTAACGGTCAACAACTTTAGAAAACTTGTGTCGTTAAAATTTGCAAATTTCGAAGAACATATCTCTAAGTTTAGTTATATCTCTGTATTGTGTTCTGCCTGGTAATCGTTGCTGTTGGAGAAGCTGGAACTCAGCCATCAAGGAATATTCAAGGAAGTAGGAACCGTAGCTATGTGAACCCTAGAAACAATATAAATTTCTTTTTAACATTTAAATCCCCATGATTATGAAAGGTCAATTAAATTTGGCAAATATAAAAAATATTTGCTTAATCCTACGACCGGATGGATATCACTATCAAAATAAGCTTACCTTCGGCGTTGAAGTCTTTTTGTCTATCATCTTTGCTGAAAGCGCCAGCTGTGTGTCCAGATCCGGAACTTCCGGTAAAACTTTTCCCCCGTGGTTGTGCATTTTCAGGGATCCAGAAGGGTCCAATGGTGTCAAATCATCTGAAACTAAACAAAATTGAACAGCGAGGTATACATCGATAGTTCAGAATGTATTTTCATGTAAATTCATGCAAGTTATCATGGTTTCTCAAAATTTAAGATTGGTTAATAACAACTGCTTGTTTTGGTGTTTTCTTATTCGGCTGTGCAGTGTATTGGTCGATTATGTCTTCTTTTACCAGCTCATCAAATTGGAACTTGATATTGGCAGCCTTCAGGGTCTAAATCAATATTTTCTCAATTTATATTCTTTGCGATTCTACGATTATATCAAAACTGCAGCAATAATGAATCACGTAAGGATTCAAAGGAGGGGGCGCAAAATTACTTTGAATGAAAGTTCACGATTTAGGGATGGGGGTATAAGAGAATATAGGCTAAGGGTAAATCACTATCCGTAATTGTCAATGTCTATGATATCTATTGAGAAAGATTCCTTTGTAAAATGAGGAGGTGGAGGAGCGATGATGGTTAAATCTTTTCCCTTCTCCAGCCAACCAGGCAGAAAAATCCGCCAATGATGAATAAGTGTTGGAATCCGCCAGACATCAGTTTTACCCATTCCTAAACTAAAACAAACTTTGTAAATTCCGTATATTCTAAGATCAACAGTTTTTGATAAAGAAAAAACGTTCTGATAAAGGGAACGTTAGCAACGGATTTAATTAAAAAATCATGTAAGTACAACTTACAGTTCCATAACTGATCTAGGTAATATCTGTGTTCTATTCGCCTGTGTGAGCTCAGGACCTTTTTTAGCCTGAAAAAAAAACAAAATTTAAAATCATGAAAATAAGAATGGAAAGATTTAAATAAGAATGTTACCTTTTGTCCCAGGACACTTCTTGATCTGTAATCATAAAGCCCATCTCCTAGTAATGGATGTCCTCTGAAAGAATTTAAATTTTTTAAAGTTTTTTCCTTATGTCAACTTACATTAATACTATTATTTATTTATTCAAATTTAAAACACAAAACATATGGTTGAATAAAAAGGATGATGTGATAAAAAAGATAAGTTCTGGTAGTGAAATAACTAAATATATTGACCAACGATAGAAAATAAGTACATCTAAAATAATTTAAACTTATTTATTGATAAACTAAAAATTTACCTTTCCGCTAACCAGACTCGAATAAGATGATTTTTAGTGGAAGAAGGACAGATATTGATGAGAGTTAACGGAACCATGTTGGATCTGTTGAGACATTTAACGGATAAATGACGAATCCTTTCATCTTTCTTAGACCGCTTTCCTCGGGTAGACGGTCCACTGTATGAAAAAATTTATCTGATTATCTGTAGCGTGTATTACACTTAGATTGTATCATATCAGTTCAGGGTTGAAGAAAGTTTCAAAATTATAAAATCTACAAAAATCGCAAGTGAAACAATAATTGGTTTGCTTTCTATTTAGAAATTAATCCAAGATTGTAAAAAGAGGTTATATGTTTGTTTACCTTGAAATTACCGGTTCTTTGTGTACTTTTGAGAAGAGAGGGTTCTCTACACTAGGATATTCTTGAAGCCGAATTGTAAAGGTATCCTGAAAATAAAAGATTACTATCCAACTAACCCAATGGCCACCAATTTTATAATTATATTTTTCCGAAATTCTTAATTTCTCTACTTTAAAGCTTTAACGAAATATTTTAAGATAGTGTTAGCCAGTAGACCATTGCCCTAACTGTTTCCATATCTGGTGGAACGTTAATAATTCGAGTAAAGTTAATGGTTCGCACGCACATAAAATAATCCTAATCTTATCTGTTATTGCACTCAGTTAAAAAAAAGCTGCTTGGAAGTTTATCTCTTCATACTTAGATATCCCTGAATATAACCTAATAATGACCTGAAGATCTAGATTTGCATGTCCTGTCACAACTCCCAGGAACCCGGAGTTAAGGTGTCGAGCAGTTCTAATTCGGGTTCGGATAATCTTCATTTTATCCATAGTCTTCATTGTAGGAGAGAGCAGGGTGATACCGCTACAGTATCTGTCAACGGTACTCAACAGGTGGAGGGATTCTGAAACATTGATCATTACTAAAATATGGGAATACGAGATCCCATCTTGATAAAAAAGAAATAATGTAAGAATATGACAGGGTCTGAAAATTTTTTAGTATAGTAAGGAACAGATAAGGAATCATAAGGAAGTGAAATCTGCAAGAGGCCCCATTGTGGACCCCCCAGACCGCCCAGGCAGCAGGGTGCACTGCCCCGCCCCTGTTCTAACTGGACCTTTAAATCCCCATCATTTAGTCCAAAGCTAGAGAGATAGGATTTTGAGCTCGATGGTTTTGAAAGCTCAATTACTTCACCTTTCAAGATCTATGGTCACTTTTTCATGACCTTTTTTTTAACCTGTCTCTAGTCCATGAGAGGTGTGAAGAATTGATAATAAAAAATGGATAATTATATAGATAACTAACCTACTTCTAATCTGTCCGACAGTTGTTTTAAACAATCCTCAACAGAATAAGGAGAATCTTTTGTTGCATGGTTCGCTAGTCCGTAGGGTTTATTCACCGCGATTAAATCTTCCCCAATATATACTATACCCTTCACTAGCTCGTCTATCAGTAATTCACGTGTTTTCCACGAGTTTAATCTTGAATAGATGTTAATAAAACTAGCTTTCTTTTCTTCTGGAGAAAACTCCAAGTTTTTAATTGATCCTTGAGCATTTGGGGTTGTTGCAAGGGCGCGTGCAGAAATTCTTGGTAAGCATTTACCAATCGTAGATGAACAATTTAACATTTTCCCTGAAATTTTTAACAAAAATCAAATCACAAGATAAAATAAATAGCTTTAACAAATAACATTGTATATGATTTAATTTTCATCTTTTGGCAACAAAAATGATCAGTAAGTTTTCAGATTGAAATTGAGAGTTGAATTTTCCCCAAGTTAACTTCTACAGGGTTACTGAATCTTCCCATTCTTAAAAATAACTGATTTTAATGATTTCCGAATAAGCAGCTTAAAGAAATTAAGCAAGGGGAGAGGGTTGAAACTAATGGCAAATCTCGGATAGAAGTTAATCTCCTTTAGAGGAAAGATGGAAAAAGTCGAGAAAACGGAGTAAAATGATCGAAGTGATTGGAGAGTAAAATTGGAACGAATTTTTTTTAAAATCGGATTCTAAACTTTTTAAGATCCTAACTCATCTTTTCCTGAATCAAATACAACCCTGATCAGGTTCCCGCTCTCAAGAGCAGATATTCGCCCTGCTCCGGGTCAAGCTCAATACTCTGGTTCAGAGAGAACGTTGAGAGTTTGAAGGAAGGGTTCGGATTCATCTCCTCAAGTATCCGGGTACCATTCACATCCTCAGACAAGTAAAATACGGCACCCTGGGTTCAAACAAATAATTCTTTATAAAAAAAAGGTTGTTCTTAATTTTAAAATTTCTTCAACTCTATATTTTTTAGTCAAACCTCAAATAAGTTTACACATTTGCCTAACAATACCGCTTTAATTACTTAATACTTATCCAAGCAACTAAATTTTCATTTGAACTCTTCACTGGTATTTAAATTTTTACAAATGAAAAAATTTCTTTGAAAAATTTGTTTTCCTCGTCAGCTGAATTAAGTTCTAGAAAATGCGTCAATTCATTCTCCTCTGTTCTCTTGTACATTTCTTCACGTGCTTCCTGTACATAAGAAATTATGTCTTTAGTACATAAGATTATCATTATCGTAGAAGGAACAGGAATAATATAAAACTTGTTGTGAGAATAAAATGAGAATTAATCAAAATATAATTTTCAAGTTAATAAAATTAATTTAATATTTCATAATGCATTGATATTTTTACATAACATAAATAAATAAGTTTTATATCAACTGACACTTATTTACTTTAAATCCCTAGCCCACCTGTGTTACTGAGTTCTGATGCCGATTCTTCATGTGCTTCTTCAAAACTTCCTTTGTAGTTGTTGTATAACTGCATAAGGAACATTGCTCAAGTTTTCCTACCGTATGTTTTCTAAATAAGAAAAATATGTATTCAAGGATATTTATTTCCCACCAAAAAAGGCTTTAATGTTTTTTGTATTAAAAAGTAGTAGAGACTTTTTTTGAAGGACAGAAGAGAACCCAAAGGGTCCGGCTGATGATGTTGACCAAAACTGCAGAATAATTATTGTATTTTTTACTTTCGCCAGGGATTTTGTATTTAAACCGAGTTATTCTGAGTTTACATTAAAGCACAATAAATCAATAATTTTAGCTCTTAATGTTTAGTCCGAGTATGAATATTTACTGAACCTTGGTTGATAAATGATAATTTCGAACCTCGACAATTTTTTTTGCAACCTTGGGAGTAGGGAACAAGAATGAAAAATAAATGATTGACAAGTTTTCTTCTACCCTTATTGAAACTTTTTACCCAAACATTGATTTTTCCCTTAATAGCTAATTTTCCCCGAACAAAACTTAACACCTGGGATGGAGGGGATAGCCGGGAGGATTATTTTCCAAAGGAGGTTGCTTTTCTGGAACATAGATACCCCTGTGGACTGTGGAGAGTTGGAATAAGTGAAATGAACAAAACAAGGGGCGGGAAGCCTTGTTACCTGGAAATATGATGCTTAAGATGCATTTTAAGATTTGTCTTGTAACTGCAGTCAATACAAGAATATTGCACACCACTGTGAATAGAATCAACATGTCTGTTTAAATTCGACTTCCATTTAGCCTGAAACCAAACAAGTTAAGAATAAAAGGGACTGTATACGTAATTTTAAGTGACCCCTCCATTTAAAGAGTATCATGCCCCATTTTTCAGAACGATGCTCTTTCATTTATTATCTAAGCAAAATTGGGAAGATATCGCCGTTCTTTGTAACTTCTGCATAAAATCCGCAAGTCACTTTAATAGAAAAACCCCAATTAGAAAATATTAATTTCTAGAAAGAAATGGAGGATATTTTCATCATATTGCTCAGGCAACAGTTAAAATGGTACCATTGTGAATAGAACGTGACCCTCTTTTATTGATATGTCACAAATACTGATTTTTTTTGTTATACCTTAAACGGACACTGAGAGCAGGAGAATATTTGTCCAAGGTGGGAGGATTTCTCGTGGTTTTTCAAATGTTCCCGACGTGTGGCAGTAAAATCACAATAGTCACAAGGAAACCTTTTCATTTCATGTTTAGAAGCCTTGTGGCGCTTTAAAGTCTGTTTCCATGTGGCGGAAAAACTACACTGATCACAAAAATAAACGCATCCTTCGTGGGCGGTTTTCTTGTGCGTGTTCAGCGTTGTTAGCCTCGTAGCTACATAATCACAGCTCTCACATTTGTAAACTGTTGAGAAATGAATCGAATTTCTGTGTCTTGTTAAGTTAACTTTCCAGTTGGTTTTGAACTCACAGAGATCACAATGAAGAACAGATTTTTCTTTAGTGGATAAAGGAGACTCAGTTTTACTGATTGTGTAAATTTGAACCTCCTCAGACTGAAATATAAAGATTTGTTTAATTTTAACTTGCTTCAACATAATTTTTGTGAAATTGTAGGTATAATTGAAATAATTGGAAACAACTTTTTTAACTAACATCTTCTCAAAACGATGTCCTTGATGCCCTGGAGTTTTGTCAAAAATAGAGATGGCAGATAATGGGTNTGTAGTGTTATGTTATAAAATATATTTTGCAGAGTACAGATGTGGATAGTTAGCAATATTTTTTCTTCAATTTTGGTTAGGTTACTAATCCCTTAGAAACAGGATTGCAACCAGTGGGATTGCTTACCTCAACCTGCTCAAACAAAGGTGGATTATCCGGATCAGAATCCATCTTGGGGTAAATGTCTTAACTAATAATTCTCTTGGTCATGGTCGTGTTTATAACGCAGGAGAGAGATTCATTTTGTTAATTATTTTATCTCTCTAGCCCATTTTGTCTGAAACAGAATGAAAATACAATAAAGGAAAATAAAAAACTTATGTTTAATTCCTGCCACCACGGTCTCCCCCTCCACCTCCTCTTCCACCTCCACCACCCCCTCGGCCGCCTCCTCCTCCACCTCTTCCACCTCCCCTACCACCTTGGTTCCCTCCACGACCTCCAAAAGCTCCTCTACCGCCTCCTCGACCTCTGTTTGAACCTCCTCGTCCTCTGCCTCCACCTCGACCTCCACCTTTAGTTGTGATATCCTCTTTCACCAGATCAATTACCTCGTCAGGAATTCTAAAACATGAAAAATGAAAATAATTGAACTTCAAATTGACTAAACTTTAGATAATTTTTAAACAAATCCCAACCCTCCTCTCTAGCACTAGAATTATATCATTTTCTTCTCAATATATTTCGCCAAAAACTTTGGCATCATCAAGAGTTCGTCCTTACTCTTTTGAAGAGTATTGAATTGACTAAGTTTTTTTCAAAATAAAGTGAAAAGAATAATTTAATGTTTTCATTCTTTTATTCTTTTATCAAATTTCAAAGTACTTGGAACTTACATCCTCAAAAAGGCATTTTTCTGAAGACTAAATAAATTTTCTATTAATTAAGCTAGTATATAGTCTCTCATAACTGTTTTAGTTCATTAAAGAAACATGTACAGTTTGTTTACCTGAGATATTTGATAGTTGAACCACGGATATAGCACTCAGGCATTCTCCAGAACTTATCTCCGTCCCGGCTAGTACAGATCACCTGGAACAATTAGGTTATTTGAAAATAAGCTTCTAAATACACGTTTTCTATATATATACTTTACTTGTCCGTCTGTTTGTATTCAATAAACGTCAAAACTGATAAACCGATCCAGCCCATTTTTTGTTTAGGACTTCACATAACCCAAGGGAAGGTTTATGAATGGTCAACAGTAAAAAATTAGATCCTCAAAAAAATTTTGTTGTTGTGGATAGAGCAACAATTCAAAGATAAAATCGCGGAGGTGGTTAAAAGACTAGTTTTTAGTATATAAATATTTATCAAAATAACTAAAAACTGACAAGGTAAGATGTCCATTTAGAAATGCAAGAAAACTTTAAAACTTGATTCATGAATTATTAAAGAATGCTGGGGTTGAAAGGTACGAACGAGAACAATTTTCGAGATTACTCTGCCTGAAATTAACCGTTTACAGCGATCAGGCATCTGAAAACCAGGGTATTAAAAACATGCGTACATAAAAATTTTTATGTTAATACCTTTTACATTTGTCAATCTATCAAAATTTTCTGTTTCGTTTCAAAGCGTGGGTCCGTCTAAGTATACAATTTTTGAACCCCCCCCCCCCTCCCCAGAGCTAGATTTCAACTATATACAACAAAAAAATGTTTATTTTGTATTATTTCAGGGTTAGGTTAGCTCAATTTTTGGGCCGAACGCTGCGGCCAGGACAGGCTATGGGGCCGAGCACTTCGGTCTGCGACCATAATAGACCTTCAATTTCAACAATTTTAAAGAAATTAGGGTTAGGTTAAGACACTTTCTGGGTAGAGTGCTGCGGCTAGGACAGGCTAGGGGGCCGGGCGCTGCGGCCACATGACCAACTTCATCGACAAGTTAAATAAGCACGGCTAGGACAGGCTATGGGGCCGAGCACTTCGGTCTGCGACCATAATAGACCTTTAATTTCAACAACTTTAAAGAAATTAGGGTTAGGTTAAGACACTTTCTGGGTAGAGTGCTGCGACTAGGACAGGCTAGGGGGCCGAGCGCTGCGGCCACATGACCAACTTCATTCATGAGCAATGTGCAATATTGATAGGAGGGGAGGGGGAGGGGCGGGCATTCTAGGAAATTACCCAGTGATATATAATGCTGAACATGACCTTTAAAGGAAAAAACCAAATCGGCGTCCACTTCAGAGTTATACCACAGTATATACAATTAAAAATCTCACCTCTCTTAGGTTAATATTCATCCAATTATCACAGGATACGAGATGACCGTTATATGTTTCTCCATTCTTGAGTTCGACCAGCATAGGATGATTTTGCGCCGTTCGGAGCAATGAAAGCGGAAGCATTTCTAATATCTGAACATGGGACAAACTAGTCAAATAAAAGATAAGTTAAATTCTGTTGAAATATAAAGGAAAAATGCGATGGTGTATTTTTGGACCTACGCCCATCCCCTCTACTGCCCATCCGACCTACAAGAACGACTCAACACGGAAATGCCTCAAAAAAACAGAATCATAAAACTAATTTAATGTCGTCTTCTAACATTAAAAAAAATTTAACAATTATTTTACCATTAATTTAGGGTAAGTTAGGTTGCGACGCAGGCTACAAAGGGGGCCGAGCGCTGCGGCTAGGATGGCTATAAGGGGGCCGAGCGCTGAGACTAGGACAGGCTAGGGGACATTTTTCGTAGGTCGGATGGGCAAATTTTTCGTAGGTCGGATGGGCATTTTTCGTAGGTCGGATGGGCATTTTTCGTAAGTCGGCCCAGATATGTGGCCGCAGCGCTCAGCCCCCTAGCCTGTCCTAGCCGCAGCGCTCGGCCCAGAAATGAGCTTAACCTAACCTAACCCTAAATATTCACTGATTTTATTAAAAACTGTTGAAGTAAAGGTCATTCATGGCCGCAGCGCTCGGCCCCCTAGCCCGTCCTAGCCGCAGTGCTCGGCCCAGAAATTAGCTTAACCTAACCTAACCTTAAATATAATTATTAATTTTATTAAAAATTGTTAAAATTATAGGTCTTTCATGGCCGCAGAGCTCGTCCCCCCCTACAAAAAGTGCCCATCCGACCTGCAGTGGGCCGGATGGGCAGTATAGCGGATGGGCAATAGGACGGATGGGCAGTAGAGTGGATCAACATTACCGAAAAATGCATTTAAATAGTTGTCACACAGATATACTAACCGCTAGAAAAAAAAACTACTTAGACAAAGAGTAATAAATTAATTTTAAAGAGAGAAACCATTTTCATGTTTACAAGTTCTCAAGGATTCGCCTGAACGATTGCTTCGGGTGCAAAACCGGTTTAAATTTCTAGCTAGAGCGGTTTAGTCGTCTTCAATATGAAGCAATCAATCAACTAACGAACCTTTAACAAATATATAGGTAGAGTTAATTATTGAAGAGCTAGGTTGGCCAAAGTTGATCATTGAAAATGGATAGGGAGAGTTGATTATTGAAGAGGATAGGGAGAGTTGATTATTGAAGAGGATAGGGAGAGTTGATTATTGAAGAGGATAGGGAGAGTTGATTATTGAAGAGGATAGGGAGAGTTGATTATTGAAGAGGATAGGGAGAGCTGATTATTGAAGAGGATAGGGAGAGTTGATTATTGAAGAGGATAGGGAGAGTTGATTATTGAAAAGGATAGGGAGAGTTGATTATTGAAGAGGATAGGGAGATTTCATTCTTGAAGAGGACAGGGGGAGTTTATTATTCCAGAGGATAGGGAATGTTGAAATTATTGAAGAGGATAGGGAGAGTTCATTATTGAAGCGGATAGGGAGAGTTCATTCTTGAAGAGGACAGGGGGAGTTTATTATTGCAGAGGATAGGGAGAGTTGATTGTTGAAGAGGATAGGGGGAGTTTATTATTGCAGAGGATAGGGAGAGTTGATTGTTGAAGAGGATAGTGAGAGTTGATTTTTTATGAGGATAAGGAGAGTGGATTGTTGAAGAGCTCGTCAGCGCGTCAAAATTTTTTTTGTGCACCCCCCTTATAAAACCCGTATTAGGAAAAGAAATTAAAGCTTAAAATCTATACAAATCTAGCCTGACCAAAGTTACCAATCATACCATTATAAAATCTACTAGTAAAAGAGCAAAGAAATTTGATTTGACGTAAAAAACAGCATTTTTTAAATGTTTAAGGGTTTTAGCTCAGTGTTCAATTATATACCAAATTATTAATATTGATGGCTTGTTCTAGTGTTTACAAAAAATATAATTCAAACAGCTTTAAAACCTAACCTGCATCTGGATGAGTTATTTATTGAGACATGTGCGCCGAAGTCCCTGACTATAGTCATATTCACTATGTATATATAAAGTCCCCTCTAACAGTCTACAGCAGTTTTTTGAAATTCGTTTTCTAGTCATTTTTGTCCACGATATTGTTCCTTAATCATAGGCCTGTGCACTGTGCAGTCCTATGTATTTGCTGACAGTACTTGATTTTATTTCGTTTGTCCATAATCCATAAAAGTCTAATTCTGATCGAAGTCCCTCTTTCATTGTTTGCCAGTAGGGCTTATCCCTGTTTTCCTCTTATAGACTTCAAAAGTCCTGATAGTCCAATATAATCCTTATTATATTTCTTATTGTTATTCTTCTTAGATTGTTAGTTTTGTGTATTGTGTAACCTTAAATGGTATATGTATTGTAATATGAGAAGTAACATCTATAGATTTTTTATAGAGGATAAATTAAGACTGACTTTCTGTAAGTCAAAAACGAGAAAATACTTTGAAATTATATCAGAAATTATGCGCGAAGCGCCAAAAAAAAATTTGGTATTTTTTTTAATTGACAAAATTTGATAAAAGATGATTCACAATCATGATCATTCTGGAGCCAAGTGAGGGGGGGGGGAAATATGCTAAGGGGGGTCGAAACTCGGTTCGCCCCCCCCCCAAGTTGCGCCACTGTATATTACACTGGAGACAGTATTATTTAAAGCTTAATAAAACTCTGCGTCAATCATCTTGCTCTGAGGACTCTGAGAGACTGAAATGGATTTTAAATGAAACCCAGCGAAAAATATATCGTAAATAAGATTAAGGTACAAAAAAGAATTTGAGAAATATCATAAAATGGACAAATTGTGACATTGTCGATTGATAAGAAAATTAAAAAATCTTAATATATGTAAGTTTGATAAATTAGAGCCTGCTTCTGGCACTAGGGGGGGGGGGGCATGTCTAGGGGGGCACAGGGGTACCCTCCCCCCCCACTACGTCCCTGAGGGAGAGTTGAATATTGAAGCGGATAGCGAGAGTTTATTTAACGACCTAGGGTCAAACGACAAACGGCCAAAAACGCAACAAATGGTAACATAACAGGGTAAAACGACATAGGGTCAAGAAGTGCGACAAACGGGCAAAATTTCATGTAGAATGCTTTTGGTAGAATATAGGGAGAGTTGCTTGTTGATAAGCATAGGGAGAGTAGATTATTGAAGAGGATAGGGAGAGTTGAGATTATTGAAGAGGATAGGGAGAGTAGATTATTGAAGAGGATAGGGAGAGTTCATTATTGAAGAGGATAGGGAGAGTAGATTATTGAAGAGGATAGGGAGAGTAGATTATTGAAGAGGATAGGGAGAGTTGATTATTGAAGAGGATAGGGAGAGTTGATTATTGAAGAGGATAGGGAGAGTTGATTGTTGAAGAGGATAGGGAGAGTAGATTATTGAAGAGGATAGGGAGAGTTGCTTGTTGATAAGCATAGGGAGAGTAGATTATTGAAGAGGATAGGGAGAGTTGATTATTGAAGAGGATAGGGAGAGTTGATTATTGAAGAGGATAGGGAGAGTAGATTATTGAAGAGGATAGGGAGATTTGATTGTTGATGAGAATAAGACAAGTTGATGGTTTAAAAAGAAAAGGGAGAGTTGATTGATGAAGAGGATAGGTAGTTGATTATTGAAGAGCTAGGATAGGAAGAGTTCATTATTGAATATGATAGGTAGAGTTTTGAAGAGCTAGGTATAGGGAGAGTTTATTATTTAAGGTTAAGTTGTTGAAGGCTAGCTTTACTTCTTATTGAGGTAGTCTGGTATGAACGTCACTAACAACAAGAGCATTGAACTCAGTCATGAGGGAAATTAAATGTTTTGCTCAGGTCGTGAAACTATTTTCAAGATTTCTATTTGTTTTGATAAGATTATCAGCGTCCCGGAAAGGTTTGTCAAAAGAAGACCGCGCTTTCTCCTGAATTCATGGTTCGGGATTGATGATACCAGAGCCAGTTCTCTCTTCTATGGACAGTGGTCGTGTAGTTCACGTACTTTGGGGGACAATATGTTGGCCGCTAGATGTCTCCTGCTAAATTCTTATCTGATAGATAATTTCTCCGTACACTTGACCAATATAGGAGTCATAGGAGACGTACGGAACGTACGTCAAGTTGTCGACTAATGTAGTTTATGGAAGGAATGGAAGGAACGGCCTTAGTTCTGCACACTGCAGTCAGATAATCTATAATCTAAGATATTGAGATCAGAAATTCATCGTCACATTTATAATTCTAAAAAATAATAAACAAATATTACATAACGCCGATAAACCCCAATTTTACGGGAAAATCAGGATTTTTATTGAATTTACACGCTAGGACTTTTAATAATTAACAGGTCATTTAGAATTTACACGCTAGGACTTCTAATAATTAACAGGTCATTTAGAATACTACAACCAATGTTATTGATTTTTAAGGGTTTGGTCACTTTACTTCACTGCTAGCAGATATTTAAAAATGAAAGAATACGAGAAAACCGATTTATCGGACAAGATAGGGTCAACTTTAATCCCAGTTTCAAGAATAAGAGAATCCCTCGTAAGAATATATATAGGGTTACACACAAAGGATGAAACTTCAATGACGACCTAAACAATTACTGAATATAACGATATAAAGGTGTAAGTTGGTAGTTTGTCTAGAATACAAACTTCAAATTATTTACTGAAGGATTTGAATAACCAAGGTTAAATTCCAGGAAACTAAGACTAAGAAAAAGAAAAACTCTGTACAAACATCTCTGAAGTCTCATTCGTTGTGGGAAACCCTGTATCCAGGAAAATTGCCTACGGTATACATTTTGATAAAAAAAGGAGATAGACCAAACAGACACATAACGGATAATTGTGTTCTTTAACTTCCGAACAGAACTAATATTATAGAAAGGTGCTCTGGGAGAACTAAATAAGAATTTGCTACTTGCTAAACTAGATGAAAACCAATTTTTTGTTGATAATCTAACAAGGTCATATCCACATCCATATGCTGAGTACTGGCTTACCAATAAAGAATAATAATGTTGACCTAGCGGTTGAACTTTAATTTACTTACTATTTTTTAACAACATAAAAAGACACTATTCAAGTAGCAGGGAACCAAGCATGCACATTGCACAAACTGTGTCAGTCGTCTAACATTCATTAAGGGAAATCCTGTAACATTTTCTAATCAAATAAATCAAATCAAAACTAATTTATATATTTTAATCACAACTATGGTTGCATGGTGAAGAGTAACATGGTTTATGAAACCATGCTGGTCTTATATTTATTATTTATATAAATTACAAATATGGTTGAACACAACGGAGAAGTTGTCCTTAAAGACTCAGTTAAAGGTTTAGGATGCCAACACCACAGTTAATGAGTGATATTAGTAACCTCGGCCTAAACTTGGAGGTTTCAGAATACCCTTGGCCCTCCAGAGGTTTCACAATCTTAGCCGAACTGAAAGGAGAAATTCTGATGTCCTCCGCCGCCTCCTCCAGGGCCTCCAAAGTTGAAGTGCTGAGCTCCCATGCCTCCATGACCTCCCATACCTCCGTTAAAGAACGCCTGAAAATTGATCAAATTGAAAATGTATTCTCAAAAATTTTCTTTTAATGTTAGCTTTTTGCGTATTTTCTGAGATAAAATGTTAAGATCAATTTCCTGATTTCCATGACCACCAGCATCACCTAGAACTTGTCTATGGAAGGGGGGGGGAGGTATTACCTGGAATATACTGTTAGGATCTATATCCTGATATCCATGACCACCAGCATCATCTAGATCTTGTCCACTATCATACATTCTTCTTTTCTTCTCATCCGACAAAACAGCATAGGCCTCCCCAACCTAATTAAACGTATTAATATAACTTTAGAAAAAAAGACAATTTATAAAACAAAGTCTAAATTGATTAATCCGTCGAGAAGAAATAAATTTATAAATGATTAACGATTACTGATTTAAAAGCCTGCCAACTGCCTGATGAAAACTAAATTTGTTTGGCCTGAATATCCAAGATGCTTGAATGCACTATGATGCATTTATGTTGTTATGCAAAAGTGCATTAACTGCAGGTCAAGCTAACCCTAAAGGTTAGAAAGATAATTTAGATGTCTAACCCGAATTCTTTAAAGTTTTTTTTTGTTTGAAAGATTTATGACGACGGGATTGGGGACTGTACAGCACAGATGTAAATATGCGATACCAATACACACAAATACTCCGGTTAGTTTGAAGTACTGACCTAGAACAAGTTTTAAATGTTCAGTATACATATAGAAAAAAGACTGTCAACGGAACAATTCACCATTAAATCATCATTATAAATAAGATATATATGAAGAGAAAAGAAATCAACCGGTAATATCAACTAACTTGAAGAAAAGCCCTGTCTCCCCTAGCCGGGCTTGATTCGATGATTTTCATAAGTTTAGCTCCGAGTATACTTGACGTGTTAGAGATGAATTAACATCATTGATGTATCTGATGCAGTTAAAGACATAGGTGACAGTGATTGGACTGAATTCAGGACATTTTATCAGGTTCTTCACAACACTTTAATGCATAGGGCGTGGCTGACCTATTTTTGAAAAGCTAGCTTGTCGGCCAGGTGTTTTTTGCTAGTGCTACAAAAAACTGTACTTTCAGGAAAACATAAATTTTAAGTGTCTGAGAATCCATCAATAAAACATTCAGATCAACACTAGGAAGAACTTCTTTTAAGAGCTTATTTTTTTTATTAATCTTTAATCTCAAATCTGTCTCAATAAGAGGAAAAAAGCAAACAAATATCTAGGTCATGAGACCCATTTATTATTGAAGAATTCAAGATGCAAAACAAGTCTCAATTTATTCAAATAATTTGAAATTTTGAGAGTATTTTTTTCCAGAATATATTTTAAGATTTTTAAAAATCTTAGTTTTAGGAATGAGTTCTTCTGCAAGATACACTTAACATTTTTTATTTTCCTGCTGGCTTCAAGAAATAGAAAACAATTACCTCCTTGAATTTATGTTCATGATCCTTCTTCTCCTGCTCTGTGGCTCCAGAGTGTCGATCAGGATGATGAACCATGGCTCTCTTCCTGTAGGCTTTCTTTACCTCCTCATCATTAGCAGCTTTACCAACCCCCAGGATCTTGTAGTAGTCCTTACGCTTAGATTTACGGAGTTCAAGTTTAGCATCTTGCAACAATTGTCTAAACAATCATTAATACAATTAACAATTCTGAGAAGATAGATGAGAGTAACCAAGAAACATTGTACTTTTCTTGTTCACACAAAAACAAGGACATATAGGGCTATCCACATCGAATTAGACTTTAATGATGACCTTAAACACAATATATAATACGATTTTAAAAATTAATTCGGTTTTCCGCCTCAAAAACAGTTTTCTAGTAGTCTCGTAATGATTTGGTAAATAAATCAGAAAGCTTCAAGAATCTCGGAAAGTTTTTCCTTTACTTCAGGGAAAGGAGATTATTATTTTTTAAATGTGTTACCTGTACTCCCTGTTGGATCTATCAGTTTTGAAAACAGATTCATAATCTCGGACTGCATCTTCATACTGCTCTGTGTCCATGTAACTCTTTGCTCTCCTATATATATACAAATATTCTATTAACAAATAAATTATCTTTAAATTTTTTCCTGCTTTGTTTTGGTCTATCATTTACTGGAATTATCAAGTGTTGCTTGTAAGGTATACATAAACATAACATACAAAATATGATGCATTTTTTTCAAAAATTTCTAATAGTTTTTTATTAGCTTTGTTTTTTGATCGTTTTCATTTTGGTTTGCTAAGGAATTGTATTTTTAAGAATAATCATCTTATTTTATTTAGTCCTATTTCCATTCCGTATGAGAAGAGTTAGAGAGGGGACATTCTTTAAATTCGAACCTGAGATATGCCTTGGTATATGATGGATCTAGATCTATGGCTCTACTACAGTCTTCTATACTATCTTCCAGTTTCTTCAGCTTGGCGGACACTGTAGCCCGGTTAAAGTAGATTTTAGAGTTAGTTGTCTTGTTCAACGGATCAATGGACAGAGCATCACTGCAAATATAATCAGGATTAAAACGGTTTAAACTCCTTCCCTTTAATCTTTATGTTAACAGCCTAGAAGTAAAATGTACAGGGTGTCTCTAAATTCAGAACCCATGGAGGCTCAATTTTACAGCGTTTTCGTTTTTTTGGACACTAATAATATCTCATAAAATTGTTTTTGGTTCTGATCAATTGACACAACAGGCTCAGTTTTCGACGGATTTCCGTTTTGGACATTTGATTTACTGTTAGCCCTAAGGCCTAAATTCCTGTACGCTACCTGTATAAACTGTACGCTTCATCAAGTTGACCAGCTTTAAACGCTGTGTTTCCTTCTTCCTTCTTCTGCTTCAGAGCTTTAGCTTTCTGAAAATAAAATAAAATGTTTTTTTGGTTGAAGAGATATTTGGATTAAAAAAGATGGATCAATACGACAAAACATTAAGAAAATTTCGGATTTTTCACAAAACATAATTTCGCACACAAACGGGGAAAGACAGAATTCATAAAGACGTGGATTTGAATTGAAGCATGTGACAGTCGAGGAAAAATAAAAGGAATAAAATTGTCATTTCTTGCACGAAAAAGAAACGAGGGGGGAGGAGGGGGGGGGGGGGGAATTTGAAAAAAAACATTTCATGAAAAGCGAGAGAAAAAAATGTCACGTGCAAACTAGCAAAACCTTGTTGAGTATGAATTCAACAGTTCAAAAAGTTTAAAACCAGTAAATGTATAAAAATAATACATTTTAGTTCAGAAAACAACAAAATTTTGAATAGAAAATGGAAAAAAATTACAAGCCTACGTATAGCATAGTGTTAACCAAAATACATTTCTTTTTTAATTAAACCATGAAGTATACAGACTATTGACAGTGCAAGGATAAACACAGGATGAATATGGGTAAAGAACATAAAACCCTGCCAAGGGCACATTATAACATACGTCAACGCCCCCCTAAACCTACATGATTTAAGCGCTCGTGTCCTGCGTCTTGTATTGAGCACGAAGTTTACTGTAACAGTGTGACAAAATAAACGCGAGAATACAGCTTGGGAACCCAGCTTTGTCTTGAAACGAAACTTTCTCTATAAAGTCCAACGCCTGTGGTTTTAACTAGTTACCCAATCAACATTTCAGGTAAATCAGTCAAGGGGGTATTTTTGTTAAGATCGGACATCGGACAAACAAACAGAGAAACAAAGCATAATACTAAATATAAATTATACACGGCTAAAACAGATATGACAGGATAGGTCGCAGTTGCATTATTTTCATGGTTTTCAGAATACTTTTGTTCAAACTTAGCCACTTGGCTCAGAATCTAAGCACTGCATTGTTTTCAACTAATCCATTAATGACATCTATATTCCTTTAGTTTTGTCTTATTAAAACATTACCTTGTAAATTTCCTTAGCTTTGAGATGATCAGGAGCCAGCCTAAGAACCTGGGTGAAGTGAGAGAACGCACGATCCACGTTATCCTCGTAGTAAAGACAGAGACCGCGTACATAGATAGCGTCGACGTTAATATTATCAAACTGGAGAACATAGTTGGCTGCCTCCTGGGCTTCTGCATACCTAGATAGTATATTATTTTTAATTTGTTCACAAAGAACGAAACATAAATATCGTCAAATACAAAAGAATAATAAAAGCAAAAAATGAAGATAAATCATTTTAACACATGGTAATAGTAAAATTAGCTTTTGAGGAAATTATAGGCCCTTACTAGATAACTCTGGCTACTGAGGAAATAGGGTCCTTTTAGATAGTGTTGACAAAATAAGCAGGAACCTTGCTTGCTAATAAAAAAGTAGGGCTAGAAATAGTAGATCCAGAAAACAGATAAATCTGTTTACTGGATATATATAGATAAACCCCACATAAATCAACAGGGTGTACCACATCATATTAGATCGTTAATGGCTCTAAATTACGATTTTCGAGACCAATTAGAAAATTTAAGAAGAATGAATCATTTCGAAAAATTGTATAAGGCTAATTTAAAAATTTTGCTTACAGAAAATAATAGGGTTTTCGAGTATTATGTACGTATTTTGGCGTTAAAGCTTGGAGATAATTCCATATGATATGGAACGCTCTGTAGCTACTGGAAAATAGGGCTCTAAATACAGATAAATCTGGAAAAGTATAGATACAGATTAACCTATCTACTGGAGTATAGTCCTAGATACAGAAAAACTTAACTAATGGAAAGTAGAACCCTAGATACAGATAAGTAGGGCCTTAGAAACAGATTAACCTATCTACTGGAAAAGTAGGGTCCAAGATACAGATAAACCTATCTACTGGAAAAGTAGGGTCCTAGATACAGATAAACCTATCTACTGGAAAAGTAAAGCACTAGATGCAGATAAACCTATCTACTGGAAAAGTAGGGTCCTAGATACAGATAAACCTATCTACTGGAAAAGTAAAGCACTAGATGCAGATAAACCTATCTACTGGAAAAGTAGGGTCCTAGAAACAGATTAACCTATCTACTGGAAAAGTCAGATAAACCTATCTACTGGAAAAGTAAAGCACTAGATGCAGATAAACCTATCTACTGGAAAAGTAGGGTCCTAGATACAGATAAAACCTACTTATTGAAAAAGTAGGGTCCTAGATACAGATAAACCTGTTAACCTATCTACTGAAAAAGTAGGGACCTAGATACAGATTAACCTATCTACTGGTAAAGTAGGACTCTAGATACAGATAAACTATCTAGTGGTAAAGTAGGGCCCTAGATACAGATAAATCTGTTTACCTGCCAAGGAATGCCAAACATTCAGCTCTGGACGTTTTAAGGGAGTAGCAGTGTGTAGCGATCTCCAGTGATTTGTCGATATAGTACAAAGCCTGAAAAAAACTCAATTGAACTTGTTTTGTTGAACTTCTGTGGTTAATGAAAAATGTTTTAAATTTATAAATAAAAGAATGAAGAAGTAAGATTAGGGAGGGTTAAGGTGATATTAATGAGCACTGGTTTTTCCAACTTAACCCCTAAATGGAGCCAGAAGGAGGCATTTTTGAAGAACCACAAATTGCAAAAAATATTAAGGTTTGACATTCAAGTTGTGTGTAGGTAGAAAAGCTGGAAGGCAAAATCCAAAACTCTATGCATTTTAATAAACTTACATCTTTTTTAGTTCATAATGTATATATTTAGGATACAAAAGATCTACAATTATCTTGACTTCAGTTTCATAGTTTAAAGTTAAAATACTAGGAATAAAAAAGGAAACAGGGAGTAAAAACTATGTTAAAAAAATTCATCTTACAAGTAGTTTTCCTCTACGCGCAAAATTAGGGGGAATTAAAATTATGAGAGGGGCAAGCATTTTTTAGCAATCGTGATTTATTGAAAAAGGATTGTTTGTAAAAAGGAATAAAAATAAGAAGATAAGAGTAGATAAATGGATTGGCATTTGAACAAATTATCTAGAAGAATCCGAGGGTGCGGGACTAGATTTTATAAATCCTTCTAAGAAATTTATATTTTTTAGTATTGCCATTTACTTCTACCAATTGATAATTAAATTATGTGTTATCATCATACTTGAGTAAAATCCAATAACTCAATTCACACAGAGGACGAGAAAAAAACAAAGTCCGAAAAGTAATCTAGGGATAATTATAAAATCAGAGCCTAGTGTTTAGACTTTTTTAGTATCAAAATCATCTGTAAAATATGAGATAAGTATGATATCAATATCAATATTTGGTGTTTCTCACACCCCACCCCAACCATCATCAAATCGAAACAATCCCTTTAAGAGAGGTTTTACCTCGAACCTAAGAATTACTTAAAATCAATCCCTAACAAGATATACTAGAGCACCATAAAATAATGATAACACCTTAAAAGATTTTTTTTTAAATGGTGAAATTGTCAACTAAACGCTTCATTTGGTTTATATCTTGAGATAAATTGGGTAAAATTGGAGCTCTCCTTTATTGGCGAGCTAAAAGTTTTACTCTTTATGTCTTCCATCACCTAAAAAGATAAGCTGGTTCCACAACTAAATATGTAGCTAAATGACGGAATATCGAAGTAAATAAATGAATAAATAAAGTTAAATCTAATTATTAAACAAGGAAAATAAAAAAACTAAATGCATCAAGAACTGTCGGAATGAATGAGCTCTGACCAAATACCAAGATCAAAAGATAAATTAATTGTTGAGATGCATTAAATATGCGTATTGTGTGTCGGTGGGTACTCATTCTATAAATGGTCATGTAAAAATGCTTAATTATTACTGATGACAGATAGACTTATTTAATACAAGTGGTTTAGTTTGCAGGCAACAATTAACTCTACATTATCTGCCCTTGTTGCGACATATTAACATTTTAAACCTATAGCATGTACACGAGCGGAATAAAATGTCTACAAATTGTATTAAAACTTCAAGTAGTGTAGTGGAGTGGGGGGGGGGGAAGAAGGTCAAATGGACTGAGCCCCCCCCCCCCTCAGGAGAAAACTTTAATTTGAAATGGACGTTTTTAAAAATCAGGTTATATTTGCCTCCTTAGGTATAGGTACTGAGATGGTTGGCTTTTCCCTGAAATAAACCGACAAGAAGCAAAGCATTGGACGATTTTTAAAACACAATGGTGGGAAACACCAGGATCTTGACTAGTTATCAATATTATAATTGTTCTTGGAGTGTTTTCATCATACTTTAAAAATATATAAATTGGCGGGGACTAAAAGTCTATTCTTCCATACCTTTCTGAAGTCTTTCGTGTTGTAAGCGTTGTTTGTATCCGTCTTGAGTTTCTCCAGTATCTCTATATTCCTCATCTCTGGGTCTCCGTCCTGACCAGCGCGCTGCAGAGCTTGTCGAGCCGTCACAGAGTCTCCCAACATTAAGCTACATTTAGCAACCCTGCTCCACCTACATAATTACACAGCATGATAATGCAAAATCTAGCTACTTTTCGTATTCTATTACTAACAACACGTTTTTATACTTTATTTTTAAGCTGAAATGTGTAAGTTGAACAGTGAATGCAGTTTTTAGTCTCCTAAAGTTTCAAAAATCTATCTTTTTACGTTAAGAATGCAACAACCTAACGGCAGGTACTTGGCAGAATTATAAATTATTTTACAAAAGATTAAAAAGTGAATGTGTAATTTTCAAAAAGTTGTAAAATTGAAAAGTTCAGATTGGAGTTATATTAATTTTCGCGGAATAGAAATTTAATGACGAAATTCAATTGTTAGTGATCTGAAGTATCTATAGCAACCCGGCTTTAGCAACCCCACTGCCCTATGATGTCAGATTTAAAAGTAAAGCTCGCAAAAACTTGCAAAAATTTACACTTACCCTTTGTTGAAATCAGGTTCTATGCTAGTGGCGGTTTTAGCATCCTCCAGGGCCTGCTTAGGTTGACCCAGCATGAGATAGCAGGCTGACCTGTTGGTATAGAACGCGGCGCACTGAGGGCACAGATCTAAACATTATTTTTTTTGAGTGGATTTTCGCAAATATGTAGTTTATGATTTGTCATTGTTATTTCAGACATCCTCATCTCTAAAACATAAAGAAAATTCAGGTTACTTTTAATTTATCTCTTTCAGCTGGAAGAAACAGAGAAAACTAAAAAAAAAGCTTTATCCTAAAAAAAACAGTTATAATGAACACCCCTACACCACAGAACCATAATGTATGCAACGATACGTTCCTAACTGACATTAACGTCAGCAGATTTAGACAACGCACTTCAAGTTTATGCCGGAGATAAAACAAAATCAGACTTAATAAATACAAACAAACTGCACTCTTGATGCAACTGATTTGCAATGAATGCATACTGCATAGATTACACGCTTAGATTGAGAACAAATGTTATCGACTGTTTAAGCCGACTAAGGTATAAAAACTTTCAATTAAAAGAGTATTCATTGAAAAGCTTTTCATTTTTGAAAAAAATTCTGATTTTTCCATCTTCATATATTTTTATCCTGGTCTTGATGTCGTAGAATTTTGATATTTTAAACTGAGAATTGTTTGACCATATAGTCAAAGTTAGGAAAATTTTGAAGGGAAAATTTGGGTTTCTTATTTATCGAAAAAAAAAACTAAATTTATTAATTAATGTAAACATAGAACATTGAACATGGAGCAAAAAGGGTTTAATTGTATTCGTTTTTAAATCAAAAAATTCAAATTTGATTGATCATTTGATAAGAAAACTAATAAACAGCAGATGCAGAAACCGATCAAATCTAATGGACTTTATTGTATGTAAATATATATAATTAACAGTTGGGTTTATGTATCTTTATATTGCTAGATCCACCCTTTATTAGATCCTTATACGTTGGTTTCATTAGATACGGGAGTATAAAATCTTCCTTTTAAAATGCATATACTTTGTGCTTTAAGATGAGAATGTGCAAATTAAATGTATTCTGAAATCTTTTCATTTACAAACATTGTATCAATTGTAGCTTGAATTGATTCATAATGATTTAATTTATAATTACTTTTCCCATTCATATATTTATCCATGAATGGATCCTGTAACTGTACATACAAGAGATTATAGTGCACAATATGTACAGTACATAAGTTACACGGGAGATGTGAAAAACACACACTTGATAGCTATTTTACAAAAAATTACAACGGGTTTAGTTTAATCTAAACATAAAACAATATTCTAATGACCATTAATAAAAGATTTGGGGGCGTCGCAAGCGCGCCCAAGTATTTGTTTTGTCTCAGATTCGTGTAAAAAATACCTAATTAAAGGGTTTTCACAATAATGACCAGTTTTCCGACGGATTTTAGAACTTGAACGTAACAATACTACGACTTGGACCATTCTCTAAAAAAAATCTTAAGCGGCCGAGCCTCATTTGACTTGAAAAAGACGTTTACGGTGTAAACTCAATGCTGCTGACCCCCCCCCCCCCCCCTCTGATACCCCACTAGCTGTGGGGGGGGGAGCAGTGGAGATTTTGAAAAACTCTTAACTCTGAATCTTTCCTTTTACCTTAAAAATATCATGTATTAACATTAACCATCATGAAAAACTGAAAGAAGTTTTTACATCTCAGATAATCTAATATTTCAAACTCAAATATTTAATCAATTAAGATAAAAATAGCGTAAAAATATATTAATTTACATAAAATAAAGACAATTATTTTTCCCGTTGCCACAAACCTTATCTCAAGTTGCAGGTTTAAAAGTGCTCGAAATTCTTTCGTTTCAAATATATTTGAAAGCAACGCCCTAAAAAACTAAATAAAAACTGTATAGGTTTCCTTGAAGTCTGTTAAATCAAATCAAAGTATCTTTACATATTAATATTTCTTGCATCCAAAAAGGAATGTCACATTTAAACTTGGTAAGAAATTTTGTCGAATCATAGAATTGCCTAAAGTTAAGCCTTTTCCTAGATCATTACGATGTAAGCCATAAAATTTTTTGAAATGAACAATTTCTTTTTTACATTTTTCTTGGCGCTTGGCCAAGAAAGTTCTTTTCCCTAGCCTTATATAAACAGGCGTCATGGAAAATATCATATTCAAATATTAAGCTTTTTTTCAAATAAAATTCCCAAACTAATACAAATCCGTTAAGCCAATTAACTAACTTAAAACCAGTTTTAAGATATCGATTTTTCAAATGAACGTTAGAGAGCAACTTGACATAACTAGACAAAGGGGACTGTATTGTTGGTAGAGAGCGAGGGGGTAATTAAAAAACTCTTCCTTTTCTTCTTGTGAATTTACCCCCCCTCCCCCCTCCTCGTCGAGAAAAATTAAACTTTGTCTCCGACTTTAAACCAGCGGTACTTTTCTATAAACATTCTTTCTCTCCTCTTTGGAATTTGCTAGGCGGTTTCGTCGTGCCTTTAAAATATAAAGTGCACTCCACTCTCTTTAATGACAGGTTTCTTAAAAGTGCAGATTACAGAGTTGATGTCAGTATAATTCTAGGGATAATATTGGAGTTGCATGACCATGGTTTGAGAATACGTCTAGTAGAGTTGTCGAGCTCGGACGGATAAGTTATTGGATCCCTGGGGCTAAGGGAGTCTGCAAATAGGCCTAAATCCAGGCCTGTATATGACGTCATACAATTATCCGACCGATCTGTCGGTTTATCAGACTCGAGACGAATTTTTCCATCTTTATCTTCAGACAGTCACGCCTGATAAACAGACAGACGGTAACCGCACGGACAGACAGAAACACTTACCAACATTTCTAGCTTTAAACAAAATAAGGATTGGAGTGAAAATAAATCAAGAATTTCTAAAAATAAAAAAAAATAAAAAAGTAAAAAACTGCAAGAATGGAAAAACAAGAAAACATGATTTTTTTACGGCCGAAGAAACTGATATAAAAGAGACCGCAATCGAACAAACAATAAATCTGACAAACAAACAAACAAACAAACACACAAACCAGGCCAGAATTAAATGATAAAATTCCCCCAAATATAAAAATTTATGTTTACAACTTCGATATATAGATTTATATCAGTATTGTAGCTAAAGATAAAAAGGCATCGTATGCGCAGCTGGTTAGGTCCAGGTGGTAAAATGATTTACAGAATTTTAATAGGTTTGCTTCAATACAGAAACCATTTCCTTTATTTATCTACTCATTGAATAAAATGTTTATTTCAAACTCATAAAGAACTTGGCACTTAAGCAGTTAAAAATAAATTAAAGGGAGTGACCGGCTATGTAAGGTAATTGAACTGAGTATGCAGTGTTGTGGAAAACTTAATTCGGATTCATTTGAGACATATAAAACTTTTTAAAGATCTGTAAATCCTGAGTTTGAGCATAAATTCGACGTTAAAACTCCAACTTTGGGGGTAGAAACGTTTAAAGAATTAGTTTTTTTTAATAATTAAATAACGACAAAGAAAAATAAAGTAAAAATAATACAGTACTTACAGTAACATATTTTTCAAAAGAAATTTGTCAATAAATCAATGCTAAAATCAATTATTTCGTTTTTATAATTATATTGAATTTCTTATTTTCTTTGAATTTATTCGCAGATTTCTTCAAATTCTTCAAATGTCGTCTTTTCAACAATAATTCTAGAAAATCTGCAGAAAATCTTTGAGAATAATGAGAAACTAGAAACTAATAATTGAACAAGATTACTTATTTTTGATGATAAGATTAATTTTTATTTTCTCAACATGTTCCTATACATGACGTCTGTAGTTTATTGTAGAACTTTTTTACATTTTATGTCGTCGTTATTTAATAATTTAAAAAAACTAATTCTGATGCTACTGATGACCCAGAACAGAAAATCATGACTTACTCTAGACATAAATAGAAAACTTATCCTGGTTTTATCCTATGTAAGTCTATCCTCTAATGAACTACAATTTAGAACACCCCCCCCCCCCCAACCCAAACAAATTGACTTCATCCCCCCTTCCCATCGTTTAACCACTGCAGATGCTGAGTCTGTAATGTAAAGATACAAATCAGAATTAATAGTTGTCAGTAGACACAGGTTGATATTTATCATTTACATCTACAAATGGCTAAAATATCATCCAAGGCAAAAACTAATGAAGGGACTGATGTCGAATTACCTAAATTAGGAGGATAATAAACAATAACTATGTCACTAGCCGAGCAAAATACAAGATTGCCAAATTGTTTATCTTTTATTACAATTGGTGGTTTATCTAAGCCTCAATTTTAATCATTATCTCATTTCACCCGTGAATTTCAAGAAAAATGTTTAGGACTTGAAATTATATAGTACATATATACTAAACAATAATCTTACCAATGGCTTCTGAGTATTTCTGCAAGGCATCTCTGTAGTTCTTGAGTTTATAGAGTTGGTTACCTTCCTCTTTTCTCTCGTCTGCCAGCCTTAACAAATAAATCAGATAAAATAACAATGTTGATCTTTCAACCCTTTCCCGTCAGAAAGCTGTAGAAATAGATGAAATAGTATCGAGTATTGAGATAAATAAAAACGTATTCGGATTAACGAATTTACTTTTTGCCACACACACTCTGATTTACTGATATCTTTGGAACCTGATGTCGTAGACCTTCAACATCTTTAACTAAAAATTCCATTTGATCAAATGGTTTAAGTTTAAAATATCAAAGGTTTAATCCATCAGGTTATAAAGATATAGGTATTAAACATGGAGTTTCAGGCAAAACTTAATTTCTTCACCGTATATAAATTTTTAAGAATTTACTTTCATAGCTTTTTTTTACTTTGCGAGCTAATTTTCTTATGAAAAATACATAACATAAAAACAAAATATTCTACAATCGGAGAGCAAAAATAATTACTGAAGTAATATGTAAAGAAAAATTATGAAATATGTAACTTAAACCCTCAAAACTATAGGTTAATAAATTCTGTCTAGAGTTCAAAGGGGTTGTGGAAGAACAGTCGGAATTTAATAATTGTATACATAAAACCTTAAATTTTGTGCATGCATCAACTACATAAACATTTAACAATGGTTAGTTAGTTCTAGTGCTGTACAAACCGTAAACTGTGTTAATTACATGTTGTTGTACATTGTACAATGTACTATTGTCCGGGATGCTGTTAACTGTAGAGTGAGAACTTTTAATCAAAGTTTGTATTTATCTAAAACAAGATTTTTATGCAAGCAGTATCTATATTCTTTCAAGTTAAATTGGTTTTTGTTTTACAATATTGGAAACAATTTTTACAACCTTGTATTAAAACTTGAATATTGTATAAATATACGAGTTCCTAGGTTTCTTGTAAACGATTCATGTTGAGATGATAAAAGATTACTCCATTCATTTTAAAGTTGGGGCGAGGCGAGATATCGTTAATCAGAATTTAAAATGCAAGAATAAACATTCAAGATTCATTTCTCATTTTTCAACACTGGAGTAACAAGCTATTTCTAACCCTAGGATAATAGACAATAGATAAACCGAACTAAAATAAGGACCTGTGCATTGTGTAAAGCAAAAAGCAGTTAAATAAAACGCCTCAAGCTATAATTTTTTAACTCTTAAATCATTGCAACCTAATTCTGTCAACCTTTGACAATTTTAAGGTTATCACAATCAGGTTGCTAAAATATAACATTAGAAAATATTAGTTAGGGTTGAATAATCAGTACTTTTGCTTGTCAGTTTAATAAAACTAATAAAAATACCAGGACGATTAACATCTTGTATAATTGTATTTATTTAAGAAACCAGTAACAAGGTGCATCTGTGTTTATCTAAGCTAGACCAGAGAGACAGCTTAGAGAAGATTGGATTGAAGTTTAAGGTTCAATGTCCCCACTCCATATATGTATTCCATTCACGTGAAAACCAGACTTAACCCCCAATCCTGCACAGACAGCGAGGAACCTAGAACCCAATCATACACAGACAGCTAGAAACCTAGAACTCAATCCGATACATACAGCTAGGAACTTAGAACCCAATCCTACACAGACATCTAGGAACCTAGAACTCAATCTGATACAGACAGCTAAGAACCTAGAACAAAATCCTACACAGACAGCTAGAAACCTAGTACTCAATCCGATACAGATAGCTAGGAACCTAGAACTTAATCCTGCACAGACAGCTAGGGTCCTAGAACTCATTCCTACACAGATGCAGCTAGGAACCTAGATCTCAATCCTACACAGACAGCTAAGAACCTAGAACTCAATTCTGCACAGACAGCTAGGAACCTAGAACTTATTTCTACACAGACAGCTAGGAATCTAGAACTCATTTCTACACAGACAGCTAAAAACCAAAAACCCAATCCTATGCAGACAGCTAGGAACCTACAACTCAATCCTTCAGACAGCTAAGAACCAAGAACCCAATCCTACACAGACAGTTAAGAACCAAGAACCCAATCCTATACAGATAGCTAGGTACCAAGAACCAATTCCTATACAAAAACTAGAAACCTACAACCAAATCCTATGCAGACAGCTAGGAACCTAAAAGCTAGAACCTAAGTCTAGGAACTAGAAATCAAGAACCCAATCCTTCAGTGACAACTAGGAACCAAGAACACATCTATCAACTAGATAAAAAGTTCAGACAGATTGTAAACGGATCAGATGAAAACGTGAGAATTTTATGTCTAGCTGGATTCTGTCAGTCTGAAATTATTCACGGTGTTCAGTGCACAGTACAAACTACCCAATACAAAATTCACAGTACACAGGTAAAATGTACTTCTAACCATCCAAAAAACAAAAAGTTCGAGTTTTAAAAATGAAGTAAAAATTCTCTGATATATCAATTTCAGCACCAGTGCACTCCTGTTGCAGCAACACCTTGATATATCAAAGAGTTAAACCTTATTTAATCTCTGCTAAGGCCTGGAGCAGAAGGCAACCTAACATTACATCTAGATATATTGTGTACTCGGATCATAATCAGTTGAGTCCATCAACTTTAAGATGGACGCACAAAGAAGTTGGTTCTTCCGACAACAAATCATAATCTTTTAAACGGCAGTGAAGGTCGAATAGACATGGTACACACTTCAAAATAAATAGGGTCTTCATTCCACAAAAGTCCTAATTTAATGTCGAGCATGAAATGCTCCCAAGGGTAGTTTTCTGCTGTTAAAACTGGAATAATTAACATCCATTGCTTTTTCGTAAATCTGCAAAATCACCATTACAAGAAGAATTGAGCATCGATACAATTATTTCTATTTAAAACGGGCAAGTTTTTAAGGGGAATCGGAGATAATTGACATGTATTAGAATGACTTAACAGGACACAAGAGATTACGAAAAAATTTACCCGATTGCATCTTCACTTAAAGAAAGATTAATATCCAAAGTCAAGATAATGTTAAGATAACGAAAGGGCATCAAAACTTTAATTTTTAAACCTTGAATCCGCTGTGATGTGAACACTGAGAACGGAGCTAGCTAAACTAGCTTGAAATAGATGCAGCGTGATGTACATCACATCATCAGGGGAGTCGGTGTGTGGGGNTTAAACTGTGACACAAACAAGCTGGCATGAAATTTAGAAATTCATTCTGAAATGCAAAAAATGCATTTGTGCAACAGTGTAGTCGTGGGAAATGTAAGGAGAGGGGGGCTCAAGGTGTTCTTGTTTATTTTCTCTGCTGCAGCTTTAAGGTCTGAATAATATTGAGAAACACACTGGCACTTAATCAAACACAACGAGTTAAAACTATTATGTTTGTACAAAGTAACCATAAAACTTTAATATATATGCACGATGTTGAAGATTATGGAGAATATACAAAAGGAATACAAATTGTTTAGGTGTAGGTTCTAGGTGGGGGTTAAGCACTTGATAAATATAAATTGCTTGGGTCTAACAAGAAACCGAAGCTAATTTGTAAACTTAGTAAATTGTTAAAATACATAATGGTGGTTTGGTTACTAAGCGTATTCGTCAAAACAAGAGAAAAGGAAATTTTGAGGAAATTTTCTGCAAAATATTATTTGACCTTAAACCCCTTTAATATTCTCTTGTTTAACCTTGAGCTTAGGCTGACAGGAACTTGGCTAGTGTAAGACGAGTACTAGATTAGCAGTATGAATTTGAATACATTAAGTTTTTGTGAACTAAACCACTCAGACACAACGACAACAACCATACAGCTCAGAATATTCATTTTAATCTTTTTTATTCCCATACTTTCATCTTGACAGTTCCTTATCCGATTCAAGACTGAGTACATAAACTTAAAACTACATCATGCTCAGGGATACATTAAGCAACGTAGCAAAATCTTTGAACTGTGGAATACAAAATAATAGTAGCAAATTTAAATATGAATAATAAGGATTTATTTACTGTTTACTTTAAACATCAGTACGGTGATGTATTATAGTTTTTTTTAGATTAGTTATTCACAACTAAGGGAAAAAGCCAATGTTAAGTGTACTGGGTATACTGCAAGAATAACATGTACCGGTACATGGAAAGGACGGTTGATTAATCTGATGAATTCTAAACTTGTGCCTTGTCTCCTACTAAGATAAAGAATGTCTATTTATCTTGTTAATTCAGTGCATTTTGCATTTATGTACACAATAAACTAGCTTGCAGAATATGTGCAAAAAAATCCTAATGCCTTTAATAAATAAATTCGTAGAATAAAAATATCAATCTTGCAAGATTAGAGATATTTGATTAAAAACATTAAAATTATTCCTCTTACTTTTAATTATATTCTCATAGTTAAACTTTTTTGAAGTGTTAAAACTAATTCTATACACCCCTGAAAAATATTGTTCCCTGTGTACATGTAGATTGTAGATTTAGTATTGGGTTTTATTGAGCCATGAGTTTTAAATTCAAGATATATTTTGACGTTCAAATATCCAGCTACCTCATTCAATCAAATCTATCCAACAGGATCAAACAATTCATCCGTTCATCCGACACTTTCAAACATCATCCCATCCATTCACATCAATTCATTCCGGGATGATTCCATTTAGATAAAAAATATTTTGATCGAAATAAATCACGACACACGAAAATGTTGCAATTTTTTAAGGTCAACTTTTCAATTTAGGCCGCAAGGCCAATATTAAGCTTGGGTAGGCCATTTGATTTGTGATAGATTTTCATATTTCTTTTTGCCTTTTGAGATTTTAAAAATGTCAAAAAATGTGTTATTTTGTTTATCCGATAGATTTACCGAAACGGCTGTAAAGTTACGGACAGTGAGGATGGGGTTAATTAAATATATGCTTTTATCAGCAGAAACAGGTGTAAATAAAATATGAAATAAATATTAAAATACTAATAAAAATTCTTAGTGGATTTTTGAGATTGCAGATAAATTAGATACAAATTAGGATTAATGAGTATAATCATTTAAATTTTAGGATAACCTAAAAATATGTAACCAATATTAAAATAATAATAAAAAATTCTTAGTGGATTTTTAAGATTGCAGGTAAATTAGAAACAAATTAGGATTAATGAGTATAATCATTTAAATTTTAGGATAACCTAAAAATATGTAACCAATATTAAAATAATAATAAAAAATTCTTAGTGGATTTTTAAGATTGCAGATAAATTAGATACAAATTAAGATTAATGAGTATAATCATTTAAATTTTAGGATAAGTTAAACCTTCGCATTTAATGACTTTTGACAACGATTAAGAAATATTAGATAATATACACGCAACACTCAGGAACAAAGAAGTTAACACATTTAGACATTCCCCCCCCCCCCTTAAGCACAAACTCAAACATGCTATTAGTACATATTTTCTTTAAATAATCTACAGATCACCTCATCTAAATTCCCCATCTAATATATGTTAGACAGGGAGGACCCCCTTCCACCCAATTAAATATTTCTCGAGTCAAATGCTAATATTGCTAATATACTATGGTTTGAATGTGGGTTGGATTAATAATATCCTTCTCTTAAAATATGACCAGTTATCTCTTCTAACCTAGCTCTATCAGCTGGGTTACCTAAATACTTCAGTATTACATATTCACATTTATTAATGAAAACCATCATCAAAATCAAAATCAGCCAAACTTTAGGAACTACAATATGTTGATTTTATGATAAAGATAAACCTCCCAAAAAATCATTAACAAATATTTTTTAAAGAATGATCAAATAAGATGGCAGATATTTACTAATTGCGTTCTTTTCTTCCTTCGTCAATAAATGATAAGTAAAAATGTTCAATAAAGACGCTGACAAGCGCAAATATTCTTTTATTTAATGGGACACCTCCCTGTCATCTCCCCCCCCCCCTTTAACCTTGTCAACCACGTCATACACACTACATTATTAAATGAGATTTAACAATTAAATCACGTCTAATGGTGTGAATAGAACTTTTAACCTTAAAAGATTCTGACGCGCCTTTATATTCTTGAAGCTGCAATAGCATCCCCCCCCCCCCCCCCCCGGTAGTTAAGGGAGGAACCCGCCCACTCCGGTATAAGAGGGCGTGGCAATTTAGTTGGGGTTTTGTCTAGCATTTTGAGTACCAACAATGCATCAGGATAGATTAGTTGATTAGACTACAAATAATGTTCAGACTAAAATAAATTTATCTTAAATTAAGAAGAATTTGATTTCAAGGTTAAGGATCCTGCTCCAGGTACACATTGACACACCTGCCAGGTTTCTTCTTATCATCCTTGGGTTTCTCGACGTTAATTTGGTCACAGTATGCATTCTTAGTTTCAGACTTCTCGTCAAGGTTGGATTTAAGGAAGCTTTGGTCTGAGCAGAACTGAGATGGGAGCTGCGATGATCTAATCTGAGGTGATTGGTATGATTGGAACTTTGAGAAGTCCAGTTTTGAATTGAACTGAGACGCTTCCATATCTGAATTGATCGGAGAAAAGCTCGGGTTTGAGGTGAGCCGGGATGAGTCCTGATCTGTAATGAGCTGAGAAGAGTCCTGGTCTGAATTGAGCTGAGGAGAGTCCTGGTCTGAATTGAGCTGGAAGGAGAGTCTATCCGTAGCAGCCTGAACCTTCTCCAGTTCCATAGTCATGGTTTCTAGCCTTCTCCTGCACACACACAACACTTAAAGTATTCAAGGTACCAAGAATATATCAAAGTTTAAAAACAGGTCGGATTTGTTTTGATTATCTTTATTTGAAAAATAAAACACGTCATTTATGATTGAATTATGATTTCTGAAGGAATTGAGTTTTTGCCACTAACTTATTTTCTCTAATCCCTATATCTTTGCAACCTGATGATAAAACCTTTTAAATTTAAAACTTAAGACATTTTGATCTAACAAAATTCATGGATTGAAATGTTAAACGTCCACGACATCAGGTTGCAAAGAAATAGGGATCATAAAATCAAGAGTTTGTGGCAAAAACTCAGTTCCACTATAAAGTTACAAGTATCCCTGAATAGTCTGTTCCTTTTAAAGCTTGTAAAACATAACTTATCGTGATTTTGGGGTTTTAAGATTAACATTTAGTTTGGGATCTACCGAACAATCTAATCATGTTTTGCGGTTTTATCAAACACCTTCAACTCCAGGTGATACATGAAGTTTTTATTGTGGGAGGAGGGAGGTTTTTAAATCTTTTTTAGATCTTACCTCAGATCTTTGACCAGATCTGTTGCTCCGACCAGTTTATCAGAATCTCCAGATTCTGTTGAAGCATCTTTCAAAAAACCATGAAATTTTGACTCTGGCACTTTGCGTCCACTGTGTGCATTAAGTGGAGATGTTCTTTCACATTCTTTGTCGTGATCAGATTTTGCTGGAAATGTGAAACATGTTTGGCTAGGTTCCCGTTTGCAAGAATCCTCGCCAAGGCCTAAATTTGATTCATATTTAGTCATGCTTGCCGAACTCATATTCCTAGTATCCGATCTGCCAATCATTGATAATTCTTCATTATCATTTAATTCATGGCCGCAGTCCTCCGTAGGTTTCAATCTTGGTTCTCTCATATCTTTATATCTTCTCTCCACTCCTTTCTTCGTTCTGATAGCTCGGGTAAGAGAAGGTATATTCTGATCTGTTGTCCGTTTTTGTTCCTTCAAATCTAGCTGAATCAGACTTGATTTATCCGTATTGTCCGGTGTTGATGGAGAACCATCAGATATTGAACCATCGTATCTTGCTTCAAAAAACTGGGACACGGTTTGGTGTGAAGCTTGATTTAGTGGTTGCTTAAGATCCTCTTTTTCCATAGTTTCTTTATTCTCCCATCTTGTCCTACGCAAGGACGGGCCAAATGGAGTTGAATCCGGAAGGAATGTATCCTTAGGCAAAGGTGGGGGCGTGAACTGCGGGGGTGGAGGTCGAAGCACCACGCCTTTTCCTGAACCTAACCCATAATCAACACTAGATGATCTGGATCTTCTAATGTGCCCAAGCAACTCATCTATTTCATGGGATGAAATTTTCTCCGTGCTCCCGTGCCTACTCCGAATCTCGGAGAGGGTTGATTCAACAAAGCTATGGTTTGCTCCAGGATCCTCGCTCCGAAATCGACCTCGAGAACCAGAACTTCTCAGCTCCGTTCTACCACGGTCAAACTTTTCCGTCCCACCCTTCTTCATTCTGACACCTCCCTCTCTACTCAGTGTACCATTAAAATTGGAAGAACAGGCGTAAATGGGATTGCATAGAATTCAAGGTTACATTCACATATACCTATACACAGATCTAGGAAAATTATTTGATTCATAAGAATTGACGCCGCAAACCTTCCCCTCTTAGAGCAATTTATTCTGTCCTATCATGATATATTTGAAAGCCATGAAATTATCTTTTTGTCTCCATATTAAGAATACTCTTTTGATAAGCCAAATTGAGTTGGCAATTTTTGAGATAAACCTGAACGAGTTTTTAGAACAACGAAGATTGGGGTTTATCTTGAATATTTTAAATTAGTGGATAGAGTGGTATTCTTCACTTAAAAACTAAAAAATGGTAAAAAATATAGTTTCACATTGAAATCACCATGTTATTAAAAACAAGTTATTTATGTTCATTGTGTACCCTGAATAGAGAGAGAGATAGTTCACATTAACACAAGGAGCAGGACGGATTCGCAATTTTCTGGGTACCCTGAGCAGGACGGATATTTAATATCTTGAGGCACCTTGAGCAAAAACGGGTTAAAATGAAACAGTCTGAGCACAGGGAATAGTGAAACTGATGCAAGCAGGGGATCTAGAATTCAATCTTACTCATAGTACTAATATACATTCTAAGGATGAATATAGGTGTCGTTGAAATATAACAATTGCCCAACCTTCCACAACCTTCCACCCACACGAATAGATTATCTTAATTATCTTGATTCTAAGATGTTTGTATAAAATTCTTTTTTTGGGTTTAAGATATCCCCCCTCCATCACATTTTATTTGGCAGATTTTCAATGTTCGATATTTTCCAATGTAAAAAATATTCGTATCTTTTTCAGGGAAAGCAGGTTTGATGCAAGAACACAAAAATAGATAGTGTGTGAGGCCAGTTAATAGTTACCTCACAGCAAATGTGTAAATGTTTAGACTTAGCTTATATATGTCTACATTTAGAGGATATTAAGAACTTTCGACAATTATGCAACTGTATGAAAAAAAGACCAAACATAATTAACGTTTGAACAGATTCGTAATTAACAATTAGCAAACCTGATTACTTCTCTAGATAATTAACTTGGGTAATAGACAAGAATAATTAATTGATAACAAAATAACCTTTTTTTAAATGTAAGTTTTTCAATGAATGAGAAAAAGAAAAGCAAAAGAACAAAGAAGAAGACTGAGAAAGAATGGGGGGGAGATATGAGTTTTAAAAAATAAAAAACGAACAAAGAGGAATTATTGGGACAGAAATGCGGCCAATAGGGTTAAATAAAACCAAAGAATTATCATTATTTTTCTGATGATAGGGTTAATAAAAGCAGAGAGATTTACTAAAATTAATTCAAGGTCCTGTTAACCGAATAAGAAAACCCTTTCTTAGAACAGTCCCATAACTTATTCTATACAACACATGTAAGAAGAAACGGTTCGGGAGAAAACATAATTTATCAATCTACAGAATGACAATCCATGGCGGTGACTTTTCACTTTTCTAAAAGGTGCTTGTGGGTTTCGTCCAAAAAGACGAAAAAATTTCGATTCGACAATATTTTCGCAGTTTTATTTAAGTAAAGGTTTTAAGAAAACTGCTGTGAATCATTTATGACACTATAATTCAAAATACTACGGTGACGACCTTCAAACGGAAAAATTAATTGTGAAGATTTTGTGGATATTTGTAAATGCATGAGTGTGGGGTTAGAGAGGGAGGGACCCGGGGGGGGGGAAGGTGTAGAAAGCACGTAACTGCAGTGGAATGCATTTTTAGACATTTGAATAGATTATCCAAAAATTCCAGGAGAAGGTTAATGTGAAAATATCAAACAGATAGAGATATTTATACATAAACTTGGGGCGTACATAACTATTAGAAAACATAATTATGAACAGTTTACACTGTGCACAAAACATATCATAATATTGAAGTATGAAAGCGGAGCGAAATAAAAGAACTTCCTTGTAAAAATATTTCTGCTTATGAAAGGAAACAGGCGGAGAAAGTCAAATGTTTAAGGACATCGTAAAAGTAACTAACAATATGTCTACCCTCAAATCCCTCTTTTTCTCCCTCCGTACATAAACATTGCTAAAAGATAACGTTAGCATTCCTTAGAACACTAGAGCTTAACAGTACTAGGAGTACTAGAAGTACAGGAGTTTTGGGGGTACTAGGAGAACCAGGAGTACCAAGAGTACAAGGTGAACCAGGAGTACCAGGAGTACCAAAAGTAACAGGAGTACCAGAGGTATCAGTAGTACCAGGAGTACCAGGAGCATCAGGATAACCTGGAGGACTAGTAGTACTAAGAGTACAGTTTAATATTATTGATACGCTATTCATCTAATGCATAGAATGAATCTATCTAATTTATTTAATCAAATTTGATTAACCTGTTAAAACGACCCAGCTTTTTATAAATTCAAAAATCATGTTTTTCCCTCAAAACGTCAATCCTAATTATGTGTTCCAAGAAGCGTGGCCTAGATATGATTCTACAGATTTCAAAAATTCAAAATATCTTTTCTTTACGACGTGTTGAGTAGCAATCTAGAAAAATCTACTCTCAACCGAAAACAAAGATGGATGAATTCTGGAGAAATCGATGACAAAGATGAGTTTACTTCCTTGGTAAAATACAGCTTTTAACTCAATTTTAGAATAATATTCTGGAATCACCCCGCCCCTCACTTTGTTCACAATCTGGCTAAAATGTTGTCAGAATAGAACTGTTAGGTTGGGACAAGAGGACAACATCTTGTCTGATGTTTACAGATTTAGAGATAGAGATATCGTTGTATGTATGTACTTAAAGTTATAAGTTCTAAAAAATAAATTAATTATTTCTAAGATTTATTTAATAATTCTCAATAAAAACATATTAAAAGTTCAGGTTTCCAAAGATTTGGGGCTACAAAATTATAAGATTTTTCAACTTTTTTAGCCCCCCCCCCCCCCATATATTCCATTTGTGTATTTGAGTGTGAATATACGCACCATATCAGACGCAAATCTAAATACTTTCATTTACAACGTTATCATTTTATACGGAGAAATCTACCATCCGCCTCGTGTTCATAAATATGGGTCATATTCGCTTTCTTGTAATAGCACCTCACAGACATATCTATAAATTTAAACAAATATCACTATTTCAGGAAAAGCTTCAAACTTAAACTTTCAAAAAATTATCAGTTAATTTAACAAAAAAACATTTTCCTCATCATCCCTGAAAATTTAACCATATCTAGTGAGAAATATCCCTCTGTATGATAGGAGAGACCAGGATGAGAAACTGTTATTAGAATTTGCAAGATGACGCGGTTTCAAGGGATATGCGGAGAAACATGATTTTACAGTTAATATAACCTGTGGCCGAATTTAAAGAATTTGAGCGGTGGTTTAAATTTAAGCCGCGGCTTAAATATGGTTGGTTCCACTTAAAATTGTATCAAATGTTTCAAGATTTAAGCCGGCGCTAAATTTAAACCGGTTTTTGGCGGATTTAAACCGCGGCTCAAATTCTTTAAATTCCATCTCAGGGCTTATGCATTTCAAAGAAAAACTAACTAGCCAATATTTTTCGATAGAACATTTTAAAAGAAGAATTTGCAAAGTTTTTTTCCTTTCTGAGATCAGAGATGGAATTTAAAGAATTTGAGCCGCGGTTTAAATCTGCCAAAACCCGGTTTAAATTAAGCGCCGGCTTAAATCTTGAAACATTTGATACAATTTTAAGTGGAACCAACCATATTTAAGCCGCGGCTTAAATTTAAACCGCCGCTCAAATTCTTTAAATTCGGCCACAGAATTATTTAACTTTAGCATTTCTTAATTTTATCCAGTCCGAGTCCCCCTCCCCCTTGATGTAAAAAATGTATATGATCTTTCTTTATTCAATTGACCCACCCTCAAGCCCTCCAGATTCGGTTCTTTGTAATTTAAATCCCCGGAGCATGAGTTCATGATTTAAATCCAAGCTTAAGTTGACTTTTTAGACATATCTGTTTAGAAAATATAGCACTTAAGCCGAGTTCTGGCACAATAAGTTCCAGGAATGTCCGTATTAAAAGATTATAAAAGTAGATGTTTATTTAAGACAGGTTCTATACTTGACTTATTCAAGTCCATAAGTCATCCACAATTCAACAAGATGAATAAGGCGGGAAATTTTTTGAAGAGAGATTTAATTGGTTTATCATAGAGTCTTGAAAATGAAAGTTACTGATTATTCAAAATTCGATCGAAATCCTAGAGTTTAAGGATGATCAAATTGTTTTACGAACCGTCTCTGGTGTAAAAATAAATTCAAATAATTGTATTTTTTAAGTTCACTGTTAAGAATTTCACCTTCAGTTTACAAAACATACCTATTCTTTTCACATTAGAAAAGATTCTAAAATAAAAACAAGAAAACAAATCCATCAAGTTTTCAGCGATTAACCTCGAAACTTCATGAATTGTTTTCGATACACAAAACAGTGGAATAAGACGAAGACGTTAAGATTATTTGAAATAGTAAAACTACTTGCTTTAAAACAAGAAATAAGCAATTTTTCTTCAAATTGTCGTCTTCCTATTCCAGTTGTATGAATCACACTTTAAAATGTTAGTTCTGAAAGAAATTCTATTCGACCTGAGCTAAAGTTCAAATAACAGTTTGACAAATTAAAAAGTGTCTGAGCATCAATATTAACTGCCAAGTTTTTTAAAAGAAAAATATGCTTTGAAAACTATTCAAGGGAACAAACTGCTGATAGGTATCTCTAGCTCCCCTTCATAAACAAATTTCAAAACACCTCGGAGAGAAAAAACTTGCATATTTGAGATTTATATTTTACAAATATTTAACAACTTTTGAAACTTGTAATTTTAGTGGCCGTTGAATTGAGCTTGAAAATAGTTGCTGAACGTATAATTTCCTGGTAAAAAGTTGCAGAGGTTTAATGCATACAAATTATGGACAATGGAATATCAGCGAAGATAGACAGATAAAAATAAAGCGAAGGATTGTCTAAGGAGAGGTTGAGGTAGACTGTAGAGGTGTATTTGTTTTAACAGTGGGAGAGACAACCGTTACACTTGGAACTTAAAAAAGTATTTCAAAGTGGAAAAGAAGTAAAAAATATCAGCATAAAATCATTTACGAACAATCCATGAATGAAAAAGTTTTTACAAAAATCATTGAAAAGAAAATTGAAATTGAAAATAAAAAAAACATAAATTAAAAGAGAAGTTCTTTAAAAATTAATAAATAAAAAAAATGTGCACAAAAAATCCATTGCTAAAAAGTTTTAAAAACCCAGTAAATCAAAGAAAACATATTGATTGAAAAAAGTGCTCAAAAATTCATGAATGGAAAAAAGTTCTTAAAATCCAACGAATGTAAAAAGTTTCCCAAAACTGAATGAATGAAATGTAACCCAATGAATAAATTTAATGAATGGGTCTGGGCCCAGGTTGAATGATTAAGATTGTTCTCTGATCAAGTCAAGAATAGACTAGGATCTTGTCAGATAAAATATATAGGCTTTAATCAGTCAAGATGCTTAACTATAAGCACAAGAGTGATTATATAGGGGGGGGGGGGGAGTACAGAGAGGTTGAATATGATCTATAAGAAGGATATTATGATTTTATCTAAATCCAGGGGTAAAAACTGTTTAAAAGAGATCTGTTCATAAAAAGAAAAATTAAGATGTGCAATTGTTTTAGGTCATATTAAAAAGAAAAAATGGAAGAACTATTTTAGAGTTCTGTGGCATGCTGGGAAAAAAATCGAATAACATTTTTTCATATTTTTACTTTTTCCAGCGCATTCATATCAGAATGAAAACAGAGCATATAATTTACAAACAGAATCTAAATTAAAATAACTTTTAAGAAGCGTAGTGGAAATAAATAAATCCCCGGAATGGTGAGTTAAGGGGGGGGGCAGTTTGATATAAAAATATGATTCTGCATGAAAAATGATATCTTAAAATTAAACGATGTTCCTACAGATCCTGTAGTTATCAGGCCAAGACAACGGTGATATGCTAATCTGCCTATTCAGGGAACCATTTGCAGATCAGATAATAGGCCTGTCATGACCTAGATAAAAACCCGCAGTTATATATTCTCTAGGCTCTTAACATTCTTTAAAACTGTATCATGATATAAAATTATGTAAAAGTCAGGACTTGCGTCGGAATTCATTCCGATAAGTTTTAAAACTTAACTATTCATTTAAACAATCTAAATTCATCCATTAAACTAATTTATGGAAATTAAATTTTACTCACTTCTAACAAAATGGGTTATTAAGATCTCAAAAGAAGAACTTGAAAATTTAAAAATTTCAACAAATAACAGATTTAAAGCTTATTAAGTAAGCAATAACCTAAAACTCTGGCATGAATGGAAAGTGTTGGGCGGAAAATAGTGGGGAGGGGGAAAACAAAAGAGTCCTGAAAGCATGGAATAAATAATGACAAGAAGAAATACCGGCACTTTATGTTTTACAGTATGTAGTAAACGTTTAAAATTTTCTTGCGCCAACTCTTCTGACCTTTCCTTCTTATACTCATTTTACATAAGAAAACTAGACGTGTCTTCTCTACCCTTTCTGTGTCGTAATACAGTCATCCATCTTTAACAACATTCTTTTCTTATTTTTCAACATTTTTCCTCGTTCTCGGATAAATTTTTTAAATGCTCCTAACTCACATAGATTCAGCCTGCTTATAAACATCCTCATCAATTTTAAGACAGGGTCGACTTTGAAGTGGCGCAACGCCTTGGGCTTAGCTGTTACCGCTCTAACTTTCTTATGCTTTTCTGTAGCCCTTTAAATGTACATTTTAGCACTTTACAGGACTTGTTGGCAAAATTCTCATTGATTTTTGATAGAGAGCGTGAAACCTTAAAATCACAGTGAACTATATCGTGATGATTTAGTATTTAGATTATTTGGATTTATCCACTATAACTAACGTCATAACCCCCCCCCCCCCCCCCGTCACCAACCTCCCAAAAAACACTTAACCTTGAACCACTGGACAAATTACAGTTATCTCTTAATGTAAATTTTGTGGAATGTAAAGGATACACCAAATATATGACAAAGGGTGTTCACATCTAATAAAAATGTATTATCTAAATAAAGCCTATTGTGATTTGTAATTGTGATTTGAATTGCGCCATTTTTGGTTGAAATAGAAAAAGTATTACAGGAGTTAATATATGAATTTAAATAAATGTTTCATTACTGCATCACAAAGAATTGAATAAAAGGGGGGGGGCGCTGATATAGATATACCCCGGCTAAGTTATGTGAATGTAATATCTGAGAAAGTTCGGAATTCCCCTGTTTCCTCCCCAGATACATAAACCCAGCCAGACATATAATTAGGAAAAGCAGGAACACAGGGAGAAAGTATCTTGTTAATTTTAAGCCCGATGTAACCCAATCGGAAACACCCTTTTTAACAAAACCATTTTTTAAGAAAAAAAATCTTAATGTTTATTACTGTTTTTGCTAAACCTGTTGACTGTTTATGTAGAATGTACATGGAACAAATGTATAAATAATGATTAGATTTGAGTACAAAAACTTTGCATTTCAGTCACGACCTTATTGTAAATTAAACGATTTTTTTGCGACTGTGTACCATGACATATCTGTATGTATGAGAGGTAAAACATGCGTCTCATTACCATACCTAACCTTAACCCTCCAGCATACCTAATTATATAATCATGCTAAATGTTAAGAACCCTAGTTGTGCATACCTTGAAAACTAGTCAATTCATCAAATAATCTATTTTTGTTAATTCACTGATACAGTGTTAATGGATCTAATAATCTTGTTATGCTTGGGATAACCGGTTCCTCTGTATACATTCATCGGGAGTGGATTGACCGGAAACTGGATTAGTTGTATTCTTAACTCACGAGGTTTAAACAAAATATTCAGTGAATGAATCTCTCCGCCTTTGCCCGGGGGAGGGAGGAATTCGTTCAAAAAAATCTGAGCAGTCTGAACCAGTAGAGGCTCGATGAAAATATCCTCGACCGTTTCTCCGTCCCTCTGCAGCGCGTCTTGTCACATCTAAAAAGTGTGCAAGCCGGTCTTGGGAACTCCCCAGGTTATTATCCGACCCAGAGCTAGATTTAACTGGTTGGAACCCTTGTCTGGACTGTGCTGCTCCTGGTACCCAACTAGATGCTTCAGGTTGACTTGTTCCTAAACTACGTTCCCAAAAGTTAGCAAGCTTGGTTCTATTATTGCTTAACACTTCTATATTGGTTCTGGGGGACGGTGTAGGAGAAAGACTAGCAACTTTATCTTCAAACAGCGGACAACCACTGTCGGAGCTATTAGAACTGGAATGTCTGTAGAATTGAGGACGTGGTGCGGGGGGAGGGGGTGTATTAGGTCCTGGGGAATAGGAAGTTGACCCACACAGTAAACTGTCTCTATTTGCATTCTTGATTTTACTCTCACTATTTCTCAGCCTTGCCTCCGAGGGATTCTGACCTGGTAATTCTGAATGTTTGAACTCCGGAGACTTTCCTTCAAAATTAAGAGAAAATTCATTTTTGGGTAGAGTAAGAATCTGAGATATTTGTTGGTGCGTAAACTGCTGCTGGGACTGACCACAGGCCGGTGACCTCACCACTGAGTTCACACCTCGTACAGGTAGAGTGTGACCCGTTGATTGCAATTTTCCCTCCTCGGGTGATAAACGACCTGTCGGACTAGACGGTAGGTCATACATCAATAGTTGACTCAGAGGCCTTCGAGAAAGTGCGGGAGACGGAGCTGAGCTTAACTCAGGTAGATAATCGGACATGGGGCTGGCCAAGGATAATCTTGAGTCTCGTCCAACATCGTCATAATTTTTACGTCTTGAATATGATCCTAGGTCGTTATATGCACTGTTTCTTGAATACCTGTCATAGTCGTCCTGACGGGAGTAACTGTTGGATCCATACTTGCTCTTCTCTCCATCATCATAACTTGTATTACTTTTAGTCCTGGAGTAAGAATAGATACTTTGTCTTGAGCTTCTTCCGTCGTAGCTTCCGTCACTTTTTGTTCTGATATACTTACTGATAGTTCTACTGATAGCTCTCACTGCTTCCTCTTTCTCATCCGAGACAGGAGTCATGGGTGGAAGTTCTAGCTCTGCTTCCAGGTCCTGCATGAAGGAGCTCAACCTTGAGTTGTATCTTGATTTAGACGACCCTCTCGTCTCCTGATCCAAAGTGTTTGGGTCATCGATATTCTCCTCCAGGGAAATGCATTTTTCTGACGAATCTTGATTATTTAGATTATTTAAATCATCTGCTGCCGAGTTAGGTCGATACATTTCTTTCTCATTTGCAACTACAGTCTTCCTACCCTCGAGGTCGAGATCACAAAGCTCAGACAAATCATGATCGTCGCTGTAGAAGCTCTCACTGATCACTGACACAAGATCATCATAGCTTAGATCTTCAGGTATATGCTCATCCCACTCCTCCCAATCCAGATTCTTCAACTCAGAATCATCACAATCAAAATCTTCGTTTAATAGATCTGCAACTGTACTGCAGACGGACATACGTCTACTCTCTGGACTTGAATTCCCATCTTTGACAAAGGCTGGTCCATAGCAGTGTTGGGGAGGAGGGAAGGGAAGAGGAGTACTGTTGAAGAAACTCATGTTAGTTAAATCTTTACTGGAAACTGTTCCAGCAGAAGAACGTCCTTTGCTCGACTTCTTTTTCTTCAAATAGTTTTTGAGGAAGAGGAGTCCTGATCCTGATACTGAAGAAACCACACTTACAGAACTCTTAGTAGATATACTCTGATTATCATCACAGGAGGAATCATATCTATGTTTGTCACATCTATGATTTTTGTCTTTCAAATCTTCTCCGGTAGAAAATCTTTGTTCTAAACTCCTTAAACCCGGTTTTTGATCGCTCCCTGATCCTGCGGAGCGAACGGTTCAATATCAGAATATTCAAATAGAGAGTCTTGTAGAGATTAAGGTTCAGATAAAATTTACATATGAAATGATAAGATGGATTTAAGACGGAGTACAATAGAGCCCTTCTCTTGTATTCAAGCCATGCCTTTATACTTACTCAATGTAGCCTATGGTTAAACATGATAAAAATATACAAACCTTGTAAAGAGATAAGTGGCGACATTAAACTCTTTTATTCCCGCACCATTTTTCTTTGACAAAACGATTATCGCAAGAATAAACATAAACTCTCAAAACCCCGAGATTTCAAAATGTGGTCTGCCTGTGATTTTAAGTAACTGTGTATTACAGGAACTAACTAAATTCCAAACGTCAGAATAATTTTAAGGGAGAAACAAAAAGTATTCATTTTTGTGCACTAGACAATTTGTATTTTTTGTTTGACAAAAGGCTAAAAAAATATTAGTTAAAAGATGGGGTTAAAGTGTACACTTATATCCCATCTTTTTCAAACTCCCTGTAACATCATTTGTATAATACTAATGTCACATAACACAGATGTTATGCTAAACCCCTTGACATTTCCCTCGCTACATTTAATAGGTAAAACTTCAAGATACGGAATTTAGTTTTCAGTTTTCCCTAACTCCGAATATTAGTTCAGGACTTGGTAAACAAGAAAATACGGACAGTTTACTTTTTAATTTCATGCATCGACTCAAATAATTATATTCTTCTTATGTCTCTTTATGAAATTTTCTTTGGTTAATTCTGTGATTTGTGAAGTACAACCTTAGAAATGCATTTTGTTTAAATAATTAATGTAATTAATTGAGAGACCCCCCCCCCCAAGATGAGCACGCCCGATTCACACCTGTGCCCCTAAAAACCTTATCTGATCAAAAATGTGGAAAATTGTTTTATTTTGATAATTTCTCTATTGTTTCTGAAGGAAGAAATGCGCGTGTCACTTTTGAAAAGAAACCACAAATGAAAAAACAGTTTTCAAAAACAAAAAACATGGAAATTTAGTTAATACTATATCAGACATAGCTTTTAAGGGTACCGTTGTGCATCGAAAATGCCACATTAATAAAGAGTCGAGGGTCACGTGAAATTACGGTTTCAGCCCATTTAATGTTATAATTCTGAAAGAGATTGTGTAACTAACACTGAATGAATGTAAATGGTATGGCATATAAATGTAAATATTTACATTCAAACATTCAAAAATTAAATCGAATTAAAGAGTATGCTTCTAACAAATAAAATAAGTGACAAGTGATCAACTATAATAAAAACTACTGGCTTACTGCATGCAATAACAAAGTCCTGAACTAAAAAAAGAATTATCCAAATAAGAAAAAAAAACACAGAAAAAAATATCTCCCAAAATTTCTTAAATATTTAATTTTATTACTCCTAATCATACCGAGTTCGTAAATCTTGATGCTTATTTAAAAAATATATAAATTTTACCATTAACAAATATATCAGGCTTAGAAATATGCTAAGCAGATAAACAAGCTGATATTGAACCGTGACCTTTTGTAGAGCTGACCGATAATGCAGCCCGGGTATTCAAAGAGTCGGACACAAGACGGTCAATCAGTACTTCACGCCGGAACCGATCTTCACACTCCCGACAACCGTCCCCTTTCCGTTGGACAAATTTCCGAAAGAAATCGATGCCAGAACCGGAAACAGTACTGCAGGGAACAAGATTTAGTATTTTATGATGAGATGGCGGTTTGAAACCGTTCGACGCCCTTCCTTTCATTTAATAAATATATCTTCATGAATGAAAAGTTTTGTGTATAAAAAAATATATGGTCTTGAAACTACTTTTAACCCAATATTTTGAATTCATTCTCGACCACAAACTGGTTAAAACTCATTATTTAAACATTTCTACCCCGAAAATATATAATTTATAAACCACTGTATAATGATTACCAACTATTGGGGTTTATGTATTCGTATTTAGACAAAATTATATTCAGTAAATTTATATTTCCTATTTTATGTTTAAAATAGTGGAAACCCTTAAAGTAAGTATTTATCTTGGACAGAATTAATTATTTTTTCTTATGCTTCATAAATATCAATTAGGCAAGATTTGAACAGAAGGAATTCAGGCCAAATCTCTCATTTCCTACAATCCATTAATGTTCCAAAGAATGCTATGTAAATATCGAGCAGATTTTATGTATTCAAAGTAACTGTAAGTGTAAATTCAAATTGCTATGATGGCAATGGTATCTAAAAACTTTTATATGAACAAAAACGTTGAAGATATTGTGTTTTTTTAAGGCTGTAACGTGTTTAATTCTGATTATTTATATATATATATATAAGAAATGCGCAAGTCACTTTTTTAAAGAAACCACAATTGAAAAAATAGTTTTTAAAGTTATAAATATTGATATATATATAATTCATAATTTAGCAGACAAAGCTTCTAAGGTGAATTTCGAGTGTTGCCATTTTTGCACGGAGAGTCACTTGAAATTACGCTTACAGTCCCTTTAACCATCCTCATTACCAAACTAAAATTCTATAATTGTTATAATCTTATTGTGTTTATTTAACCAAAATATGAAATAATAAGCTTTTAGGGCGCTTCGCGTCAGTCTTCTGTTTTAATTTTGAACATGTTCTCTTTGTATAAATTGTAAAAAAACAAAACAAAATTTCGCGAATGTTATTGAAAAATTTGTGGATTTTCAAAATTTTCAAAAATCGAATTTTGTAAATTTTTGAAAATTCGATCATCCATAAACCTTCCCTGGGTCACGTGAGGTCCCATAAAAAATTGGGCCCGAAAGGTCGGTCTAGCCGGTTTGAAGTTTACTGGATACAAAAAAACAGACAGACAAGCAAAGTATTTATATAGATGAATGAACGCGGTCTTGTTTGAAGGAAACCAATCATATTTTGATCTATCATTAAACTTCATAAACCTTTAAGTTGGTATAATTTTAATCAGTTTCAGTATTTTAATCATAAACCCTTACTCATCACTTAACAAAGATTAAGATGTAAGCTTGGATGGGTAAAGATCATAGATCCTTGAATATGCAAGAATATGCTCAAACATATTAGTGTGTCAATCTGATGCCTAGAAGCGTTTATGCCTGAATTTAGCCTGAAGGTCCTTAGTATATTTTTAACTATCTTTGTGTGACAAAGTTTTCAGAGTCTTTTTTCAGCATAAAACACCCCCCTCCCTCCCCCACCGCGAGGCAACTCCACACCTTTAATCCTAAGTTCATAATGATTTTCACTTTATATTAGGCCCCTGCTTAAATTAGTCTTGGAATTAGAAGTAGGAGTTTAGACTTGAGTTGGAGTTGAATTTGAAAATTCAAGGGAGGAATTATTCATATTGCGAACATTAAACATACAAATTCAAAGTTTTTACAAACTGTCCGATTTCATGATCTTTTAAAATTAAATCCTTTTCCCTGACAGATTGTATATCATCATCTTGCTCCATGTTTCCATTGTTTAACATTCTTCCTGAGAGTTTTCTCGTGAGCCTGTTAGCTTGCTCCGAACCCTGACTCTCATCCTCACACTTCTTTCTTCTTAGTTCTCTTCGTCTATGTTCAGCTCCGGGTTGGGTAGGTTTCACTGATACTGGGTTCGGATCCCGACTGCTGAGCTGTGATCTTGAATCCGCAAGGTTAGTTTCATCACAGGCTTTCCAACTTTTTGTCGCAGTTTTTACTTGTTCATTGATACCTGGATTCCTATGCAACACTTATATATAAGAAAAAATATTAAGTTTAATCTTGGATAATATCGGAGAAAACTAATTTGCACAAAATTAGATTTACATGATAAAACACTTTTCCCCTTTAGCTTACCCTTTTCCCTCGGAAAGTGATTTATCAACTCAAAAAAAGTACATTTTTATTTAGCTGAGGAGGGGGGGGGGGATCCTTATGAGGATAGATTTAATTACATAATAAGCATTATGATGATTTGCTTACTAGTTTAACCCATTTCTTTAATCAATATGTTGACTTATATTTTACAAAAGAAATCTGAACATTTTCTTTAAATTGATCATTTACGACAATTTTCTGATAGAATTTAGCACTATTACTCCCCCCTCCCTGATTTCCTAACAAGTCTTTGACCTTCTTGCCATTTTTATTTACGCCGTCTCATATTCCCTTATTTGCATCACTTTCGTTTTTCAAATGCTGTAATCTGTGACAAACTTTTAAAACATCAGCAAAAAGGAATTAAAAACTTAATTGTTACTCAAAATGTAAAAAAAGGAAATGAGTTTTTGCCACAAACTTAAATTCTCTAATCCCTAGATCTTTGCTGCCTGATGGTGTAAGGAAATGAGTCTTTCCTGCAAACTCAAATGTTCTAATTCCTTGCAACCTGATGTTGAGTAAACCTTTGATATTTCAAACTTACGACTATTTGATCTAACGGAATTTATAGTTTGAAATATCGGTCTAAAACTTTGGGTTGCAAAGATAAAGGGATCAGAGTTTATGGCAAACTCAATTCCTTAATAAGCACTTGATCCGCTTTCAGAATATTAATTCTGTTCCAATAAAAAATCTAATTTTGGAAATTATGACAGTTCTATTTAATATCTATAAGCATCCCTTGATTCTGGAGAAAGTCCTCTGGACGGAGGTTCAGTGGATCTGAGAGATCTATGTCTGGAGGATATGTCACTCTCACAAACCGTCCCAGTGCTCCGAACACTGCCTTCACTAGAACTCAGGCTGGTAGACCGGGATCGGAAAAGAGAATATTCGTCTCCGAACTCGGGAGAACCAGGACTAGGAGAAAAATGGAAACAGGAAGTTTTCTCAATTGAATCCAATCCTCTATTTAATTTAGCATTTCTGTCCGCTCTGCTAGAAGATGAAAGTATAGGACTGGTGTAGGGATAGTTTTCTATATCTGGACACAACCTAAAACTGTTAAACCCCTCACCATGGCATGCAATATAACCATCACCAAAATTCTTACTAGACATGATAATTGGTCCCACCTTTCTGCAGATAAAATTGTTGTTAAACTTCTCCTTCTTGGAGCAGGTTCTGGCCGAACCTCGGCAGTCTGGGGTAAAGAGATCTTTCTAGATGCAGGGATAGGTCTCACAACCGATTCTCTGGGTCCTCCGGTGACAGAGGAGAACTCACAATGTGTTTTAACGGTGGAATACCGTCGTATCTTTATATGCGTCCAGGTATCATCCACATCAGTACTAGCAGAGAATGCAGTAGCTTGAGAAAAACTATGAATGGACTGGGTTGATCTATCCGGAGAAGTAAACCTGGCTGTTCCTGTTCTAGCTTGAAACCGTTGTTCCAAAGATATCCTTCTCTGTCTGAGAACGGAGGAAGATTTATCAGAAGATTCAACACTATCCGTGGAACCGCTGAGATTAGAAGATAGAGAAGATGTTGAAGATTCGGTTTCAGGAGAAGCTCGGTTTTTAGAATCTGTGTTCTGTTCATGTATATTGTTTAATATTTCAACACTCAACCTTCTTGAATTTTTCCTTGGATTATGCTCAAGATTCACTTTAAATATCTTCTCCGCAAAGTAAGGTTTGGTGTTATGATTTTCATCAGGAATCCGAGAGTTAAAATTTGACTCACTTTTAGAAGCTCTAAATGTTTTTAAAATGTCTGTACTTTTTAGGGGAGACGCGTCTCTTAAAATGTCTCTTGATTTGCCTGGTGAAATGTTTCTGCTTGTCTTTCTATTTGGAGAGGGTGAGCTCTGCCGATTAAGATCAAATTGTTTAAGCGGAGAACCACTCCTGGATTGAGCAAATCTCTCCCTGGCACTGGTTACTGTTTCGTCAGATGTAAGTTTGGCGGATTTAGCTGGTGAATGTTCTCTAATCCTGGTAGGTTTGCCAGGACCTATTGTTATATAGGTTTTAGCAACGGGTTCCTCGTTGGAACCTCGGATCCTGGTTCCAGACACACTCCTTGTTCTTCGTTTGCTCCAAGAGCTGAACAAATCTGGTTCGATGTTCTCTTTTGAAGGAGAAGAGCATCTTCCTGTTCCTAGGATGAAACCGTTCTCTGATCTGCTCCGAGATGTATCTCTCTGTCTGATTGGACTGTAACTATGAAAGCTCTGCCTACTACTGAAGCTGTCGAACTTGCTGCCTAAGCTTCTATCCCTTTCCTTTTCCCGCTCTTTCTCCTTTTGCGCCAGCTTTCTCTCCACGAGCCTCTGAACTGCAGATTGACGAGTTCTGTCTCGAGATCTATGAAAACCTCCGCTTACGCTTCCAAAAGACGGGCAACTTGTTTTCCGCTTTGGAAGATCATGGTTCAAATATGTTTCTACTCCAACAGTATACCGCCCTTGCTCGTACTTAGCTGTGTACAGAGGTCTCGGAGGTTTACTGGAGTTCATGTCAAATTCATCCTCCTTCTCTACCGGGATAATTCTCCGGTATGCATGAGGACTGTTTGGAACAGGCATCTTTAAAATATCTCCATGTACTGCTAAGGTGTGAGAGAACCTGTAATCAGGCAACAATCGCCCCCTCGTCAATAAAAACTGCTATATTTCAAGACCTGGTGTGACGGGAAACATCAAGACACAGCAGGAAAAAATTCTTATCCCACAAAAAGCGAAACTATCGTTATTTATTATGGTCGGTTGGTTCAATGCTTTAAAGAGCTGGTTTAGAACTTATCTCTGGGTCTAGGGTTGAACAACTGAGCTAGATTTAAGCTCTAGTATCACTGAGGATGACTAAACTGTAACTAAGAATTGGCATGAGAGGATGTGTAGGAGCCGGGTATCTTGTATCCGTATTGTTTTCATCGACAGGTTTAAGATAGACTCCAGAGTTCCGTAACAAGATCTTTTTATCTTTCCTCTCTTAAACACCGTCCTGATTAATTTCCAGTTTTGATAAATATATCTTTAAAAAGTCACAACAATCGAGGATTATTAACGTAAACCTGATAAAGCATTTTAAGGAGACAAAAAATATCCCAAGTCTAAACTAAAATCGGTTTAAAAGCTATAATGAGGAAGCTAAACATTGTAAGATTTCATTTCCAACTTATTTCCAAGACTAGTGTTTATATTTCTGAAGTAAAAGAAACTGTAATAAAACCATCTTTCATTTTAAGTTTAAGCTCTATTGCAAGAATCAACTACTCCACCAAATCCAACCTATCACGCTGTCTTCACCCTTCTGACGTCATTTAGCTGAAAAAGACAATTTGAAAGGTGGGCCAAGGAGTGCAGGTGGAACATAGAATATAAATATATAGATACAGAGTTGATACAGCCTTAAGGATGCCTAAAATACGCATCCTTATAATTAATCTTGTCTAGTATGTAAAGATAGAACGCCCCCCCCCCCGGACTCCTCCCCTTAAACCTCATAATTATTTGACTTGAGATTAAGTCGTCTCATTCTTTTGTATTGTATGGTTTTGACGCTGCTGCATGAATTAACTTGACTAAAAAGTTCACAATTGTTTTGAACATTTATAAAAACAGACTGAATAATACAACAAATATAACTGGTTGATGAATGAACTAAATAATAATATCATGTCTGTGGTTGATTTAGCTAGACTAGAGATTTATAAAGCTGGGATATCAAATAAGTCAACAAACATTGAAGATTTGTAGGCTTAAGTTTAATTCAGTTATGAAATTTTAACGGTTGAAAACCTTTATAAGGATACACTAGTCATTTTGAGAATTCAACCCCTTTTCTTTGGTCGGACTCGGAACTCTCATTTCATTTACGCTTAAGTCAACCCTACTCCATCAAACCTACAACCTCAAACCTACTACCTTAAACCTACTCACTCAAAATTACTCCCTCAAACCTACTCCCTCAACCCTACTCCGTCAAATCTACTGCCTCAACCCTACACCTGCAAACATACTCCCTCAACCCTACTCCGTCAAATCTATTGTCTGAACCCTACACCTGCAAACCTACTCCCTCAACCCTACTCCGTCAAATCTACAGTCTCAACCCTATACCTTCAAACCTACTCCTTCAACCCTACTCCGTAAAATCTTCTGTCTCAACTCTACACCTTCAAACCTACTCCGTCGCATCTACTGTCTCAACCCTACACCTTCAAACCTACTGCCAAGTAACCCCTCCTCCCTCCCCTCCCAAATTCAAGTTAAAGCGTGGTAAGGAATTTGTGCAATCTATATATTTGAAATGAAAAGTAAACAAAAAAGTAACATGTTGACAGAACATAATACAAAAAGCGTAAAATACTTCTCATTTCTATTAAGCTAAGTATATTTAAATGTAGATTGTGGATTGTAGGTGTATCTACAAATCCTTTCAATCTTAAGAGTATTTGCAGTTGCCTTCCCCCCCCCTCCCCCACCTTTACTGGACTCTTCCCAACAAATATTTGAAGAAAAAAACTGGAATTTTTTAAAATGATCAATCACAACACAACAGTTTTTTTAAAAATTCATTTTTCAATTTGGATGACAACCGCCAGTTCCAAATTTAGGAAAGCTCAGCTATGTTCAAAAATTTTCTATAAAAATGAACGAATGATTAAAAACTCTAAAATTAAAAAATATTTTATATAAGCCTTCTAAATTTCGAGCATCAGAAAGAAATGAGAAATTGATGATAAATTTCCAGCTTACGGTAAAATTTAACTTTCAATATTTTGGAACCTTAGATAACTAATTCCTAAGATATTGCAATGGAAAAATTTGAATATCAAATATAGTATTTTTCAAATCATGGATATTATTTTCATAAGCTGAAGAAAATTTCATTTCATTAATGAAAATTTGTATCATCCCAACTGCAGCCTTAAGAGGGGTAATTAAGGAGAAGTATAATTAAAATATTTTTATAACTCTGTCTGATTACCTTGTAAATGAATTCAATAAAAAGTCAAATATAAAGACAAAAAAGGTTTTACAAGTTGAGCAGTGAGCAGTGTGTTGGGCTGAAACAAAATCAATTAAATTGTAAAATTGTATTTGGACAAAGTCAAGGTCGGTATGTTAAATATAAGGTATTTGAGTTGAACACCTAACCAGGGATGAATCGGGACAAATTTTTTTAAAATTATATTCCCAAAAAAATTTATTTAAAAAACAACTTAATTATTTGAATTTATAAATCGGAATGGTTTATCCCTGGCAGTATAGCCTGAGGCAAAGATCTGATGAAAAATTAAGTAGATAGAATCTCATTTAGAGTTTTGAACATATCTTTGTACACCAGAAACTACAGTTTACAGTGTGCAGTACCGTACAGTGGCCACAAAAACATTATTTAAATTTTGATTGATTTCAAAAAGTATTCTGCCCATTAGAATCTAGACACGATCAGAGCACTTGGAAATGCTATGGGTCACCCTGTAGGTATCATGATTCCGATTAATAAGATTTGACTTGAAAAATATCTTTGACAAGTATTTAAATCTTATAATAGAACTTCGGAGCTAGCATAATGAATATTCATCAAACAAGTCTATAGAACCAGAATATACATCTATAGAACCAGAATATACATCTATAGAACCAGAATATACATCTATAGAACCAGAATATACATCTATAGAACCAGAATATACATCTATAGAACCAGAATATACATCTACAGAACCAGAATATACATCTACAGAACCAGAATATACATCTATAGAACCAGAATATACATCTATAGAACCAGAATATACATCTATAGAACCAGAATATACATCTAAAGAACCAGAATATACATCTATAGAACCGAACAAGATTATAAATCTATAGAAACAAAATATATATCTATAGATCCAGAATATTCTCTTGATAACCATATATAGATCTGTAAAACCTTAATATACATCTGAAAAATCAGAATATACATAAATGATTAGATTTAATTTTACTTGATCAATAGAACCAGAATTTACATCTATATAACCAGAATATTCTCTTAAGAAACAGAATATACATCTATAGAACCAGAATATACATCTATAAAACCAGAATATACATCTTTAGAACCAGAATAAACATATATAGAACAAGAATATTCATCTAAAGAACAAGAATTTACATCTATATAACATGATTATATAATATATATACATATATAGAAACAGAATATACATCTGAAGCAGTGCTTAGGATACATTTAGTTTTGATACGGATCCGGATCCTGGATCCACACTGGAAAAAATGGACCCGGATACAGGTTATTTCTTATTTTTTCGCTTATTTTTTTGCTAAAACTTAATGAATCATTCAGAAATCAGGAAATTTTGCCCCTCTGATTCGGATCCGTGGATCCGCTTATTTTTGCGGATCCGGATCCAGATCCTTGAAACCAAAATCTTGCGGATCCAAAGGATCAGGATCCAAAGCACTGCTTATAAAAAATCAGAATATACATCTGAAGAAACAAAATATACATCTTTAGAACCAGCGAAGAACCAGAAATTAGTTTCAATGGATCAAAATTTAACAATTTACGCTGCATGTACTCTGAGTACGCTGCATGTACTCTGAAAACTGTACATACACTGTGAGTAAAATATTGAGGTCACAGTACACAGTCACCTGTGAAGATAAATATAATTTTAACACATTTGCCAATAAAAAGTTGCCAAAAGTCAACTTTTTGCCGGCGGAGTATTTTTATTTCAATCCATTCATTGCTAAGTCCTTGAGACATCTATGTATGTAGACAAAAACAGTGTTCCGACAAATTCAGATCGTAAATTACATACTTTTCTTAACAATTAACGATCAATTTAGGCAACGGGGACAAAGGAATCGTTGTTACAAATTAAAAAACTCCCAACGAAAAATTTAGGCTGGAAAATCTTGACAAAAATCTAAAAAAATGAATACACAAAAAAATTGAATCGGAAGTTAAAAATTAATGAAAGGAGAGGAATAACGTTTATTGAATTGTTTAAAAGTGAAAAATAAGAAATGTTGTGTGTGCTGCAGCAGACAACGGTCGATAACGGGGCGTAGGCGGTCATTACGGTAATCTACAAACACACATAAAAATACGTTAATACTTAACCCCCCCCCCCAAAAAAAAAAAATACAACAATAAATCTTGACCAAGAGACAAAATGAAAAATTTAAAAAAAAAATTGGGGGTGACAATAAGAAAACCAGCTTGGGGATAGAAAATCAATCCAAGCAAATTTTTACCGACAGACATTTTCACTTTAGGATTCATTTTATTAATTAACGAGAAAGGTTTGCATTATTCTAATTATTCCTGCACTTATCAGAAATTCAGAGACATATTTTTCAATATTTTTATTAGGTCTACGTCTAAGGTAAAAAAAATGGAATGAGAAAAGGGAGTTAAATATAAAATGTAAGGAGAACAAAACTTTTAGACAGGCAACCGAAAAATGTTGGCCTAAAAAATTCAACTAATTTCTTTTAGAATTTCAATTCCCCAAGATGAGTATTTGACCAGAGAAAAATATAAAATCAAAAACGTTGAAATTAAATTTATTTTAATTTATGAAATGTACATTTCCCTTTAAGATATGTCAGTGTGTAAGATTGTATAGTGGGCTACCGAGTAAAAAGAGGAAAATGTAAAAGATTGTATAAAATGTATGATTCTGATTATGCCTGCCTAATCAGCCTGGGGATGTTAGATTAATCAAATCAATCACAACTGGAAATTACCCTAAGCAATATTGGAAATTTTCTCCTTTAAACTTCTTGTTTTATTATCTTTCAGAACTAATCTTGAAGTTTGGATTGAATATATTTGATACACTTGAACCTAGAGGGTCCCTATCACTGACTCACTAAATGACTACAGGATACTGGAGACACAGGAGCAAGGTTGAATTAAGAAGTTTTAATATCGGAGCTAATAATATTCCTCCGGAGTACTCAGCTTCTTAATTTTGTGCTCTGAGAGCAGTAACTATAGAGCAGGTTTGCTCCGAGTTGGATGAATTGCAGAGTGAGTAAGATTTCAGTCTGCCTTCATCTACTGCCAGAACACAACTGTAGGCTTAGTTCAGAGATCAGACAAGGGAGGAGGGTAATACAACCACCTGGTCCCTAGACATACCCATAAACCAAAAATGGGCCCTGGACGGACCCAAATAATTTTTGCAATTTTAGTTGAATTAAGGCATTTAACAATCAATAAGCGTGGTACGGAATTTTAGTTAGTACGATCTAGCATGCAAATAATTGTAGTCAATAAATAAACATGTTTCATGTAAAAAATAATAAAGGCGACAATATCAAATGCGTAGTAGTAATTTCTTAAGAACTTTTATTTTTCAAGTAATAATTTAGGTTAACATATAACACTAAGCATTGAAAATATCAGTAAAACGTTTAAGTTTATGCTGATTGAAAATGGATAGCAAAATGGATGACAAGAAATTTTGTTCAATTATCTTAAACTTTAAAATACTGTTTAAATTTTTAACCGGGATATAAACATTAAACACCTTTATTTCTACCCTGGGACAATTAATTTAAAATTACATGATACAGATGCAGTTATTCAGCTCAATGCCAAGAAAAACTCGTGCACCAATTAAGATTACTAAATCATTCAGAAAAAAATTAAATCGCAAAATCAAAAAACTATTTAAAGGTTTCTTTCATCAATCAGGATAATAAGAAATAGAAACAGATGAAATAACTGAAATCACTAACAAAGACTTTCCTTCAATATAACACTAAAAATACAAACACATGGACAAAAAATTAACTATCGTTTTTGTAAATGTAGGAAATGCAAAGAAAAGGAGTCCATTTTCTTTGTTAAAAATCTTTAATTTGGTATATCAAACTTTTTAGAGCCTTCTCTTATACGTAGAAATGAAATTACAATAGTTTTTACGAGATCCCAAACCATTTTTTATTAAATACTTGATACAAAGACTTTATCATAGATTTTGTACAAAAGTGATCTAAATCAAGTGCATTTAAGATAACACTTAGATCTGCGTTAAATTTCACAATGCATTACAAACTTAGAGGGAGAGACCGACTATATAACATATTTGAACTAAGAAAGCAGTATTGTAGAGAAAAACCTTAGGATTAATTTAACACCAATAAGACATTTTTACGCTGTACAATTCTAAAATAAAGCGCAGAGTAGTTTGTAATATTTCACCAGTTGTTTTAGCTAAATATGTAAACTATGCAAATTCTTTCAGCTCGGGTCGCTTGATGGAGGCTTTCTTTATTTTAATTATGAAGACAACATTTTGAAGAAATTTGCGAAAAAAAATATAGAAACAGCAAAGGCAATAGTGATAATGAAATTATCGATTCTACGGTTCTACTATGGCTTTAATCAAAAATTTCTTTTAAGAAATATGTTCCTAAACAGTTTATAAATTAATTTTACTTACATATTTTGTCCAGGTTATTACAAAATAGTAAAAAAACGTTTCTTCTGCTGGCTGAAATAACTGATATAATATTACAAACCACTTAACGCTATTTTTTAAAAATTGTACACCGTAAAAATGTCTCACTGGCATCAAATGAATCCTTAAGTTTTTCTCTACAACACTGCATTTTCATCTCTATTATATTACACAGCCGGTCTCTCCCTTAAAACCATTTTTTATCAAGATAACAGTGTGAGATGGATTGATATCCAAAATTAAAGTGCAAGGATATATTGGATGGATTCTTTATTGTGTCATGGATTAAAATTCATTTTATTACAACATTTAATCCACAGCTCAGGGTGGTCCTCTTATACCGAGATTCAATTCGGCGACAAATATTTTAGATTGAAATATTCACCATTCAATAGTATTCACATTTAAAAAATGAAACCCATAAAATCCCGCATTTCAGTATGGTTATAAAACGGAATGCCTTGCACGATTCTTGTTTTATTTTGTTTTTGCGTCTGCTAGTACTTTATATATTGGCAATCTTTATTACACTAAGCGTGCCAAATAAAACCATAAAGAGCTGTTTGATACTAAATGTACAATATTTAACTGTTTATCAATAGCATATTGCAAGTAAAATATTTTAACTTCATTTCCAAATAATCTCTTTATTTCGGCCAGTCTTGATTTTTGACACTGTCTTTTAGTCTAAACACCCTTTCTCTTTGGCACATTTACACACAATAGATTTAAGCAAAAATAATTTTGCACATTTTCTTTTCTTGGTGCATTTTCTTAACAAATCGAATATATAAAAAATTAAAAATATTGTTAGATTACGCATTTTAAATCCCTTCCCTACCCTGGGCCCTATCGGTTACAGCCGTTTTGAGTTTTGGTGTTTGCAAACAGCCAGACAAACAAGCAAAGTATTGAGATAGATGAAAGAAACAATTTTAAGAATTATTCCAACTTCGTTTTTAATATGCTTCTTAAATCTCTGGATATGGGCTAGTTAGATTTACCAAGTCATGGAAGAAAATTGCCGGAAAAGATAATTGTTGTTAAAAAGTTTTTACTTATTTACTAGTGAACTAAATACTTGGACAGAAGCCAATTTACGTCAGAGACTGGAGTAATTCAAGAATTTTTGAGACGCATAATGAATCCTACAGAGGAGAACAAAGAACAATATGATAACCCATGATAACGTAGGAATAAGGTGGGTAAAAGCGTATATAAGGGGGCAATATGACCAAAGACCCCCCCCATTTTCTACCTAGAAAAGAGCCCTTTGGAAAGTTTTTAAAAGCCCGGTGCAGGGGAGGTCACCCAAATGTATCTTACTTTAATCTGTAGTTTTAATAACCATCCATTTCTATGTTACACTGAATTTAAGATTTAAAAAAAAAAAAGCTTTCTTGCACCCCTAAATACATCAGTCAGATATATTATGATTACTGTGGAAGGATTGACAAAATACCCAGATCATATTTACAAGCAATAACCAGTTCTTATGTTACACAAGAACAAGGTTCGAAGATATAGACCAATAACCATATTCAAGGCTGAGGGGTTTTTACATAATATTCCCACTGAGTTTGGCATATTTCAGGGCGGATTTTTTGGCAAAGAAATCAACATATTTTCGGGGATTTTTAAAAAAAATACTTTGTTAATTGGCCAAACTTTAGAAATTTGCAATGTTCAGTGTTCACCCCTGGCCGGTGATGATGGAGGTTTTTCCTTTCTATCCGCCCACATTTTCCGCAGAAATACCCGCGCTATCATTTCCTATCTACCACCATCAAGTTTTTGCATATGCAAAAACATGGCAAAAATACAGTTCTAGTCGTGTAGAATGATGCAAAATTATTGGGATTGGTGGGTAGTACAGCAATATTGGGTTATGTAGGCAACACAGGATGGATCAGTTAACTGCAAAATATTTGAAGATACTTTCAAACTAAATCTAAAAAATGTAAGTTAAACTTTTTGATGCTAAGAAGTATCAAATCAAATAAGATGTTTAATGACGACCTACAACCAGACATAATATCAAAAGCACAGCTACTGAATACAATAATAAAAAAATGTATTTAAAATCTAAATCTATGATTTAAAGCTTTAATTCTATGCTGAATGGGTGGGCCGAATCTATGCACTAATATAACAATTAATCTTACTGTAAATTAAACACGATGATACCAACTTATTAATGCCAGACTGGCGGCCAGTGTTCGAATGATTATTTAACTTAAAAATAAAAGTTGAAAGATAGCAATAGCCCAAGATTTAAAATGTATTAAAGTCTTACAATCTATAACCTAACCTAATTAACCTCAGTTCCCAATTGGTCAGCCCCCCCCCCCCTGGTTCTTTCGGATTTAACCTTCATAACTCTCAACTAAAACACATTCAGATATCGCTTAGCTTTCTGATCACGTATTCTAATATACTACAATCTTAATGAATATCTACGGAAAGAAGGTGGGGGGGGCGGGGGGGGGGGAGTGTTCAATATATAGGTTTTGATATTACTGCTTGATCTCGATCTTTTCTTAATCTGCAGATTAATTTAATCTGTATACAATATCCCGCATTGTAATCGCACCCATTCAGGGATTGAAGGAAGGTTTGATCATGTGAGGAATTACTGAAATGAAGAGATTAAGCATTGATCCTCTATCTAAACGTGCCCACAATGGACATTGAGATCACGCAATCGGGATTTTGAGTTTCCAGCACAAAAGTTCCAGAATTCATGAGTTGTTAATTACTATTTGTACAACATAAAATGAAAAACTAGATTTAAAAAAATGATTTGAAAAAATACAAAACAATTTATTGTAAAAGACAAGTATTGAGGCGAATACAAAATTGTCAGGTCAAGAAAGACTTTATCTCCCCCCTCCCCTCCCCAATTACTAGCATGTCTATAACAATATTGTTTACAATGTGAGTAAATGCATCAAGATCTTTGTTTCAATGTTAAGCTTATCACTTAATTGTAAACATGTTAAATCACAAACAAAGAAGCCTGAGTAATTATTTTTAAATCAATCATGACAAGCTCTTCAGTAAAAATGGACTTGACAGTAATTTAAAAAAGAAGAATTGAAAAAAAGCTCAACACAAGTTTCTTAAGAATGAACTAAAATGGGAATTAATCTTTTGCAAAATATGTTAACGCAATTTGTTAAAGATTTTCGTAAAATTTTACAATAGAAAATAAGAAGCATTAATTATTTAAAATATTTAGGTGGAAAAATTTTGAATTTCAACTTCCAATAATTTTTACCTTTTACTGTTACTTTTCCCCTAAAATTTGAACCTCTGCCTCAGAGATTGTTATATCATGGGTTTAAAAAATAGATTTTCCAGAAAATATAAATAGCTTCCATAACAGAGAAAGAATGACTTTGAACAATGGAAAATAATATATGAATACTTGGAAGGTATGGATAAGACCAACAATACTGTTTATTTTAATTAGTATTCTGGTCAGAGAGAACCTTTACAAGCCAGCCAGATAGAAACCGTTGACAGGTATCAATTACTGAAACCCAGTCTAGAATCAGGTTTTTATACAACAATTTCGTATTTTTCAACATTAATCACGTGTCAGCGGTTTATCAGGTTATGTAA